GCTCAGTGGTAGAGTGATCCTGGGTTCAGTCTCCAGAATGGATGGATGGATAGATGGATAAACAGATTTAAAAAAAAAAAATCCAACCTCACAGCATTTTGTGGGTTTAAGCAGTGATGTTACCATAATAATAATACCTCAAAACATTTTTACACTATGCTTTTCATTCTCATATATATATATATATATATATATATATATATATATTTATTTATTTATTTTTTTTTTTGAGTTGTGGATGAACCTTTATTTGTTTATTTTTATGTGGTGGTACTGAAGATTGAACCCAGTGCCTCACACTTGCTAGACAAAGCACTCTACCACTGAGCCACAACCCCATTCCCATGCACTGTGTATTACTTAAGAAGAGTTTGCACATCTAATGTTCTTTAATTCCCTATCTGTCATATTCACAGCAACTCTCTTAAGGGAGATGCTCTTGTCTTTGTTTTTAAGACTGGAAGACTAGGATGTAAAAGGTCTTAAGGCTGTGTAGTGGCAGATTGTGCTGTGATACAGCCCTGTTGCCTTTCTGCTGTACCAGCATACATAGGCAGGCTGTGTTCTTTGCTATCCCAGTAATGAGTGTTGAAAAACTTACCAGATACATATTTGAGTATGAGTCTTGTACTGAGCACAGTTTTTGACACTAAGTGTGAAATAAATATGCAGTTTTCCTTGGAGGAAACATGTGAAACTGTAAATGGTTTGGTTTTCATCATCTGTACCATAGACTATCATAAAGAAACTCTCCATATGTATTTGAGGTATAGGCATGGTAGACCAATGTGTGCTTTCTGGCCCTGGATGGTTGGCCAGGGTTTGCATAGGCAGGAATTAAAGAGTATAGAAGAGGATTCTACATGAAGAGAACAACAAAAGCAGTTTTTAGTATGTTTGAGCATGGCATTTTATAGGTCATGTGGTGATGTCCAGCCTGAGAGAAGGGTACATGGAGAACAGTGGGTGAGAAAGCCTGGTTGACCAGGAGGAGCCAAGTTATGAGGACCCTGAAAGCCAGGTGGAATGTGGACTTGGTGGAGTGACCAAAAGTGCTGAAAGTTATTGAGTGAAAGTACAGGCAGAGGGCTGGGGATGTGGCTCAAGCGGTAGCGCGCTCGCCTGGCATGCGTGCGGCCGGGGTTCGATCCTCAGCACCACATACAAACAAAGATGTTGTGTCCGCCGAAAAACTGAAAAATAAATATTAAAAAATTTAAAAAAAAAAGAAAGTACAGGCAGAGCTAAAGAAGTAGTTTAGGAAGAGTGATTTTGAAGTAGGGCCAGAAACACAGAGTGAGGTGCAAATACGAGTTTTCAATATGCTTGAGGAATAGAAGCTTTGAATTTCTTTAGAAAAGAGAAGGCTACCAAATTTGTAGTTTTATTCTTTTTAGGATTTATCCATTCATTGGATAGCTATTTGTTCTTACTGATTATGTGCAGGATGTTGTGGGAGATATTCCCAAAAGGAGCTTGTATAGGAAGGGACTTGAGGTATATACAAATAATTTTAATACTGAAGAAATGTGATAAGACATGACAGGTATAGATCAAGTGCTTTGTGAGAGTCATTTTATCTTAGAGCAGTATCATTCAGTAGAAACAGAATGTGAACTATATGTAATCTGAATTTTTCTTTAAAGAGGACTGAGGGTATAGCTCAGTAGTAGAGCCCTTGCCTCACCTGTGCAAGGCTCTGGGTTTAGTACCTAGTATTACAAAAACAAAAACCCAAGTGAAATTAAAAATTTTATTAATTTCTGTACAATAACCAAAATATTATGATTTCAGTGGGTGACACTAGTCACATTTCAAGTGAATAGCCACATGTGGTTCTGGTATTACACAGCTTGGGCTTAAGAAAGGTTTCTTGGAGGAGGTGGCCTTTGAGCCATGCTCTGAAGAACTTTATATTCCAAGTGAGTGGGGAAGGCCATTCCAGATAGAGGGATTGACTTTAGTGAGTCAAGATAGAAAATCACACTTTGTATGTAAGTGTGAAACACATATTGTGTGGCAGGCATTTTATGGGAAAAATCTGAGAAGATAGGTTGGCAAGCATTCACTGATAGGGTGGGCATTGAGATCTGATTCTGCTCTCCAGCAGAAAATAATAATTTTGAGCAGAAAGTGACTTGATCTGGGCTTTTAAGAAGATGGGGCTGGTAGGGAAGTTACTCAGTGGTAGAACATTTGTGTAGCATGTGAGGCCCTGGGTTCAATCCCTAGTACCACAAAAAAGATGGTCTCGTAGCAAAGATGTGAAGGGGGCTGGAGATAGAGACTGAAACCAGTGGGTATAGGGAAAGATGATGGATGGGAGATTTATTGTAGATGTAGAAAGAGGAATGGTTTCATTTCTCCCTTGTCTACTGCCTTGCTCCAAACTGCTGGGTGTTGTGTAACCCATTTCCTGTTGAAATTGGTCTAGCTGCTTCAAAAATCCATGTTATATAAGTCAAAAGTTATGTAAGCAGTAGACATCAGGACATTTGGCTATGGATTTTGTTTGTTTTAAATTGTTTCTGTGTATATGTAGAATTAAAATTTTTTGAAATGGGTAGATACATGAATAGTTTTTTTTGTTGTTGTTTTTTGTTTTTTAATATGCATTTAGTCGCACGGTAACATGATGATTTTCAATCTCTAGGAACTCTTATGATGATCCCAGAGAAGCTTGAAATAGTTGGCCTCAAATCAGAAAGGCCATGTTTTATTTTAGGAAATAGGGTGAGGACATTTGGGAGGTCTCAAAGAGTACTCAAAATTCTTCAAAGTGTGAGTTAAATTTTAAATGCTTGAAGAAGGAGAGAAAAGGGGGTTGAAGGGGGTACTTAATTTGGGCTTAGTTAGGTCGAAGAGCTTTGTGGCATCCTTCAGCAAGGTCCGTCCCTCATATTTCTATTATTATACGGTATGGGATAGCTTAGCTTTGAGTTGGCTTTTGCCCAGAAATTTATTATTTGGAATCTTTCATAGGTAGAATTGCATCAGTGCTGTTGTATGAACTTTGAGCTGGACCTCTAGTGACTTATAACTGCAGACTGTAAATTGAGTCATTGAAAGTTGGTTTCCTCCTGCTGTGCTTGGTACTTTCAGGAATAACAATTGTACGATTATTTAATAATATTTAGGAATTATCCTGATCCCAAAAACTTTATGGTCAAGAAAATTAGGTATACTGAAAGCATGTAATTTTGGGATGATAGGATATTTCTTTCTTGTATTAAAGTAGACTAGGTTATCTCTTAGTAACACTCTATACTGGATAGTTACCCAGGGACTTGGGCTGACAGTCCGTGCTTTTATGAGTGCATCATCTAGAACACATTTTAGGTGGATGCTGTAAGAGAAGAAAGCTTGGGGAACTACATGCAGGATTTTCACAGTTTGAGCCTGGAAGCAGCATCATTTCTGCCTGTGTTGATTGGACAGAGCTGCTGACTCCTAACTGCTGGGGATGTGCTGGGATGTGTAGGGAAGCAGCAAATGGAGTCTTTCCTGAGGATTACTATGTGCTGTAGTTACATTCTAGTGTTGTGAGTGAAGATGTCATAGATCTAGGCAAGACTTACTTCACTAAATGTAACCTTACAATTAGCAAGTTGTATATAGGAGGTAACTCTGAATATGATTTAGATAATAAGCAGTAGGAAGAAAATTCATAGTTCTGAACTGGAGAATCAACTCTTTCTAAATTGCCTGGATATCTTTGTGCTTCATTTGATAATGCATTTTTGTGTGCTTGGGCCTCATGTTTAGAATTTCTCTCTTTAAAATTAAAAAATGAGCTGGAGCCGGGCATGGTGGTATGTGCCTGTATTCTCAAAAGCTCAGGAGGCTGAGACAAGAGAATCACAATTTCAAAGCCAGCCTCAGAAACTTAGTGAGGCCCCAAGCAACTTAGTGAGACCCTTCTCTAAATAAAATATAAAAAGGGCAGGGGATGTGGCCCAGTGGTTAAGCGTCCCTAGGTTCAATCCCTGGTGCCTGAAAGAGGATGGGTATGCTGGGTGAGGTGGTGAACATTTCTGATTCCAGAGATTCAAGGTTGAGGCAGGAGGACCACAGGTTTGAGGTCAGCCTGAGCAGTTTAATAACCTGTCCCAAAATAAAAAGTAAGAGGGGCTGAAGATGTAGCTCAGTGGTAAAGCACCCCTGGATTCAGTCCTTAATACCACAAAAATCAATAAATGAATAAGCATATTTTTACTCTATGGCATAGAGGGATATATGTAAATTTAAGCTAACAGTATGTAAACTAACTTTTAATAGTAAATCATTTTTAGTTGCTTTTTTCAAAAAAAAATTATTGCACTTTCTAAGATTATTGTAGTGGAGAACTAACTTAAGGTGAGGTGATTAAGAGGCGTTCACTGATTGGTCTGTATAAAGGGTTCGATAAAATAATAAACTGAAAACACTGAGATTTTTGTTTTGAGAAAATCTAAATGAACTTCTGTGGTTCAAATAAATTTATTTAAGTTCTGTTTCTATACATCCTGTATACTTTTTATTTTTTGCAACCTATACCTAAACAAAATTAGTACCTGGTATTTGTATATAATGCTTTAAACTTTTCATAGTACTTCATGTATATTAGGTCACTTGTCCTTGTAAGAGCCTCTTTGAGGGAGTTGGTAGTGTTCTTGCTTTCCAATAAGGAAACTAGAGCTCTCAGGTTAAGTGATCTAACCAAGATCATTGCCCTCTGAGTAGGAGAGCTAGTGATCGGTAGAGCCCAAGTCCATCCACCTTGATTCATGATTCTTCTCTTTGGTGTGTGTTGGAAAATTAATTGACCCAAATAAAGGCCTTAGCAAAGTACCTGACAGTATAGATGCTTAGTGCGTGATCTGTAATGTCGATGGCATTTGGAGCTAGATGTTTCACTTTTGGGTAGGCTTTTCAGAGGGGTTGTAAGAAGATTCACACCTGTATTTCCTGGGCCCTGAAGCCTGACATCTGCTTTTCTTTTTCTCTTGCTCTTGTTCTAGGGAATGACCATGGACAAAAGTGAGCTGGTACAGAAAGCCAAACTCGCTGAGCAGGCTGAGCGCTATGATGACATGGCTGCAGCCATGAAGGCAGTCACTGAACAGGGGCACGAACTCTCCAATGAAGAGAGAAATCTGCTCTCTGTCGCCTACAAGAATGTGGTAGGTGCTCGCCGTTCTTCCTGGCGCGTCATCTCCAGCATTGAACAGAAAACAGAGAGGAATGAGAAGAAGCAGCAGATGGGCAAAGAGTACCGTGAGAAGATAGAGGCGGAGCTGCAGGATATCTGCAATGATGTTCTGGTAAGGGGCCAGTGCTTCTCTTTAAAGAGTGACTTCTAAATAGTATTAACACTGTCCAAATGCAAACTCTCAAACAGCTTATGAGAAAGAGTGTCTGAGTATACTGGAAAGCTGAAAAACCATTTACAACCCACTTTTATGCACATGATATGATTCCCCTCCCTCCCCCCTTTTTTGCTTGATCAGAGGTTGTTCATCACTTCTGGGCTATTTTCCTCCCTTATCAGAAAAGCTTGTGAAAAACAGGAGGATTTAGTCAACATCTTTTCTTTAGAAATTGAGGCCAAATAGACAGGATTTTAGATGCAGCCACAGATAGGCTATTCTCTATAGTCATCTGAGTAGTGATGTCATCTCCTGTAGGGGAGGCAGGATTAAAAAGCTGAGCTGCCTTTCATCCTCTCCCCAGCCATGCCTTCACAGTGGAGAGTCCTGATTTTGTCTGAAAATTAGGCACATTCCTCAAGTTCAGTATGCGTTCCAAAGCCAAATCAAAGGTGGTTTGGGGATTCTCCTCTCCGGTGTTTTATATAAGCTAGAGGGAGATTGTTGACTCTCTGTGACCACAGTTTGGGGTTGGATGGGAGGGGTGCATATCCTAGAGCAAATCATGATCATATTGTCTTTCCCTCACATCCTGAGCCCACTGGGAACTTTTTTTTTCTTCCAGGTGAAATCAGGTAAAAATGAACGGTGAGGGATGCTTTGAAGGGAAAAGGAATTCACACTTGTTGACCTACCTCCTCCCCTGCTGGCTGCCTCTCCGAATTACTGCCCATGACACCTTTCTTTTGAAAAACCAGTACAAAGCTTGTCAGTCATCAGGCAGTACTTCTCATCCCTAACCCATAAGGAGTTACACTCTGTCTGCAAAGAATATTAAAATGACTACTGCCCCTTGCGTCTTCTTAAATCCCCTTATAATTAAGCTTTGCATTGAGCTTCTCTTTTTATTAGATTCATGGTGTAAGATAAACAGTATCATGGCTAAACTTGTTGCCTGTTGGTCATTTGGGGGTTTGTTAATGGTGCACTAATTCCTGAATGTTAGGTACATCTGGTATTCAGATGAAGTATGGCATGCATTCCAAGGGCAAGAAAGTTCCATAATTCCTGAAATGTAGACCAGCTTTTAAGAGCATCTGAAAGAATGTGAAGAAGAGCATGGTACTTACTGCCTCTTAACCAGTTTTTCAGGATGCCACATTCTAAAACAACTCTTCGAAAATATTGCTCTGTATACGAAGCTTGGACTCCTTCAGAACTACTTTTGTTGTAAGCATAAATGTTTAAAGGAATTTATTATTAATAATAGTATTAGACTCTTTTGAGTGCTTACTGCGTGCCAGCCATCGTGTTAAGCACTTTATGTACATTAGCTCACTTGTCCTCAAGTTTACCCTAGAAGGTGGCCATTGTGATCCCCCATTGTACAGCCAAGCAAACTGAGGCTTGGGTGAGAAGGCAGTCGGTCCAGGGTGATAGAGACAGCAGGCAGAAAAGGGGTTTCTTCCCAGGTCAGATTGATTCTGAACTTAGTTCTTGGCAGTTTTGTTCTATTATCACTTTTGTTCTATTATCACTTTTTTTCTCCCAGAATGGAAAAATATTTTTCCCCCTCTAATTCCAAAAATAAGACAGGTTTATTTATTTTTTAAAGTTAAGGCAAAGTAAAATCACTCTGATCTTATCACCTAGAGGACCATTGTGAACATAATCCTTCCAGGTTTTTCCCCTATGTATTTGTGTGCCTGTACACATAGATATTTTAATATCAAATATGGCTTTTGTGTTTTTATTCTGCTTTTTCACTCAGATTTCTTTTGAGAGCATTTCCATGTTATCAGTGTAGTTCTACATCATTTTTGCATAGCATTGCATTGTAATAGCTATGTTTTAATGAACCCCTTATGGATGGTCAAAGTGACTTTTAACTGAAGAATATGGGCATCTGCTGTTATGACCTAAACAACATTTGGTCTTGGATTTTAAAAAAAAAAAAGTTATTTTTAATTTTCAAAAAAATTGGTAGTGGTAGTTTGTATCTTGAATCTCAAATATAATTTTAGAATCATGTAAATAATTCAAAGTTCTTAATAATGTGAATCATTTTTTAGGAGCTGTTGGACAAATATCTAATTCCCAATGCTACCCAACCAGAAAGTAAGGTGTTCTACTTGAAAATGAAAGGAGATTATTTTAGGTATCTTTCTGAGGTGGCATCTGGAGATAATAAACAAAGTAAGTAACATTTAAACAAATTTGACCAATAGTGGAGCTAGTCTCCTTTTGTAAGGACTTCAACAATTTTTGCTTTTGTCTGTGCATCATAGACATTAGATGATGTCACAGTAATCAAAATGTAAAAGACCATTGTGCTGTGAGGAATGAGGTTGTGGGGGTTGACAAATCAGAATGTGTCTAAGGAGTAAATGTGGAGGGCGTTAAAAAGTCTGATGTGTAGTGAGTGCATTTGAAGAGCTCTTTTTCTTGGAAATTATTTGATAGCTGTCTTTTTAGAAACAGAACGTTAAAGTATAGTAGTCTACTTTTATGTACAGTTTTGTTTTCTCCAGTTTCAGTTTCTTAAGGCCAACTAAGGCCTGAAAACATTAAATGGAAAATTCCAGAAATAAACAGTTCATAAGTTTTAGATTTCACCCTGTTCTGAGTAATGGGATGAAGTGTTATATCATCCTCCTCGGGATGTGAATCATCCCTTTGGCATATGCACCTTGTATATATGTTCCCTGCCTATTGGTCTTTTAATTGTCATCTTACTTATCAGATTGACTGTCATAGTATGGCCATGTTTGTGTTAAGATAACCCTTATTGTACTTAATGACAAAGCACAAACTCCTATTACAGTATATTATAATTGTTCTATTTTATGATTGTTGTTAATCTCCTACTGTGCCTAATTTATAAATTAAACTTTATAGATGTACATACAAGGAAAACAGTTAAATGAGGTTCAATACTATACATTCACTGGGGATCTTGGAACATACACTCTGCAGATAAGGGAGACATATAGTGATGCATTTCTTTTGTCACAAGGATATTGTGATAGTGGTGCTGTGATAGTGTTAACAGCTGTGTGTCCCTGCTGTGTGCCAAGTACTTTAAAGTCTTGTTTATTCTCTCACAACTTTGAGTTTAGATGGGAGTCTATTCGGTTTTTGTTTTTATTGTGCTGGAGATTGAACCCAGACCTTGTGCATGTGAGGCATGCACTCTACCCACTGAGTTATATCCCCAGCCCCATTTTTCTAATAAAGGAAACCAGGGATAGAGAGTTATTCTCAGCTGTGTACCTAGTGAATTAAAAGTTGGGAATTCAGTTTGGGTCTATCAACTCCGAAACCCCTTATTTTTCTATGTTCCATCTTGTTAAAGATTATGTTTCTTGATTGGTTTAATAGACTTTGTTATATTCGTCATTGTTTCCCCTGGAACACTTAATATAGTACTTGACTTAGAATAAACATTTAGCAAATGTTTGATTGAATGGTAGAGACACTGACATCTCATTTTGATGGATCATTTACATCAGCCCACTTTGTCAAAATACTGTGATTGTGAATCCAGTTTATGATGCACCATGTGGGAGAAGCAGCCTTTAATACTTTTCCTCTTTCTTACAGCCACCGTGTCGAACTCCCAGCAGGCTTACCAGGAAGCATTTGAAATTAGTAAGAAAGAAATGCAGCCTACACACCCAATTCGACTTGGCCTGGCTCTAAATTTCTCAGTCTTTTACTATGAGATTCTAAACTCTCCTGAAAAGGCCTGCAGCCTGGCAAAAACGGTGAGAAGGATCCTCCGGTTTCTAATCCTAATAGACTTTTGAGCTTCCTAGTAACTTTTATTGTGGGACATCCTCATGGTCTTGGACTTTTTAGAAGATTTTTTTTTTTTTTTAAGGGTAGGATTACGTCTTTTATGAAAGAAATACAGGCCTATTATTTTGTGATTCCTTCTCAACACTCCTGCTGATTTATTATTATTATTATTACTACTACTACTACTACTACTACTATTTTTGAGGGGTGGTTGCAGAACATTCCAGGTAAAGGTGGTTTATTGTTTTTCATCAAGCTTTGGGCCTTGGTTTTACATCATCATCCTCCTTCCAATATAGTAGGTTATGGCTGTGTAAATGAAAGAAATCAGACCACATTCCCTCTCTTCTTCCCTTCCTTTCTGTACTGGGAATGGAACCTTCAGTCCTTGTGCATATTAGGCAAGTGCTCTACCACTGAGCTACATCCCCAATACCTACCCTCTTTTAATTTTATTTTTGAGACACAATCTCACTAAGTTGCCCAGGTTGTCCTCAAACTTGTGATCCTCTGCTTCAGCCTTCTGAGTAGCTGGGATTACAGGTGTGCACCCCCCACTCCCAGCTGGACCACATTTTCTTTGTGTGCTATATTTCCTCCTGTCTTTTTTTGGCCTTTTCTTTATATGTATTTGTAAACATGCGCACAGTTTTTTGTTGTTGTTTGTTTCTTTTCTTTCTTTCTTTCTTTTTTTTTTTTTTAAGTTTGGAAAAGGTCCTGAAATGAACCCCTTAAATTGCTGCTCTTAACCTATTGAGTCTCATTGTCCCAGATGTGGGATATCTGTAAAAACTTAAATGGAGAAACAGTTATACCGCTTATGATAACTGGAAATAAATATTGTGTTTTAAAAGTTCTGTTCTTTGAGAAAATAACTGAATGATTACAACATTTAGCAAATGTTTTATTGAATGGTAGACACTGATATATGTATTTTCATAAAGATATATAAGTGCTAGGTTATCATTTCCAGCCTATTTTAATATACCTGTGTCAATTTTGTTGAACTATTTGCAGAATTGAAAATTTGAGACTTAGCAGGTTAATTAAATCAGGTTTAGTGAAGTGAGTTTCACTCTTGTACATTTTTTTGTATCTAAGTTTAAAAAAAATTTAAGAGATTTTCTAGAAGAGTTTTTGGTAAATAAAAATTTGTGTGAATTTACCTAGAACAGATGTGCTAGGCTTAACAATAATACTAGTTACTTATTAGATAAAGCCAAGTTTATTAGAAAATCATAATTTATATTGTCTAGGAAATTTTATCATTGCTGATTGGTGCTTTATAATCACATTATGAAGTTTTATAAACACAAGGCTCCCCCAAAGTACTGTAGAAGAAGAAAAATTATAGTCACTTATTAGAAGGAAAAAAAAACTCAACAATTCTAAGAACATGTAGATTCTTTGCTGAAGGCTCTGTGTTTTAGGCATTTGATGAAGCGATTGCTGAATTGGATACACTGAATGAAGAGTCTTACAAAGACAGCACTCTGATCATGCAGTTACTTAGGGACAATCTCACTGTAAGTACTACTTTTGGATGGTTTATGGCCTTTCCTATTCACCTGCTAAATAATTCACTGTTATCCAAGATTCAAGAGAGGATTTATACTCCATTAAACATAATTCAGTTAGTTATAGATGACTGCTAAAATTGTGATGTGTATAGTCATCAGTGTATGCAATAATACAGAAGGAATTTTAAACAGTTGATTGAAATAAGATATAGATTGAACCACTCCCACATAAATTTGAGTAGCCATACTTTGAATAATACCTTTTTTTTTTTTTTCTCTCTTGCAGCTGTGGACATCCGAAAACCAGGGAGATGAAGGAGATGCTGGGGAGGGAGAGAACTAATGTCTATCATGCTTTGTGATCTGTTCAGTGTCACTCTGTACCCTCCACATTTATCCCTTTGTGCGATAAAACAAACAAACAAACAAAAATTTGTACGTTGACTTCGATTTTTCACAGCCTCAGCCTAGCAAAAATGGTCCATGGTATAAACAGCTGGTATTTGTATCTAAAACTCGGATTGGTCACATAAATGCCACGGCATTCTGAAGTTTTGATTTCATTAATATTGACAGAATTACTGTGTGCTTAATTTTTTTAAACTGAACACTGTGATTATGGGGTTTTGTAACTTAGCAGAACTCTTACTGGTAGAAAAAATAGACCTGAATTATGTGTAACTTTTTGGAAAGTTTAATCTGATATCAAAATAGTCACTGAAATACAATTCTGTTGTAAAGTTGTACAGAAAGTTATAGAGACTATATTGTGGTGCTGGGACTGGAGTGAGACACATCATTTGGCATCCAAGTTTAATGGTAATTCACAGTAATTCTGCCTGTGGTTCAGGGCTTGTAGACATTTGACCAGTTTGGGCTGTTGCCACTCAAAAGTTCATGACCACAAAAGTCTACAGTGTCTTCCTCTGAGGAAACTCGGATCCTGAAATTGAGATTCTTTGTGGCAGATAGCTGGGTTATGACACTGCAAAAAGGTTCAGTGCTCATTATAACAAGAGTGACTAAGCCCCCTTTCCTACAGCAATATGTTACTGATTTGCAACTTTTCAAAACAATCGGATCTGTTTTCCTTGTTACTACTTAGCTAAAGAAAAACAAGCTATATATCTTATGAACCACCTTATCTGTTTCCTGGGTAAGTCATTTAAGAACAATGTTCTGTAGAGATTGCCTCTCACTGGAGGAGTACTCAAGATATTCCTAACTTGGGGCATTAAATTTTAAAATCTAAACATTCCTTCCCCCATGTTCTTTTGAACTATTGACTTTGTTTTTCTCTTCCCTCTTAAAAATGTATGTCCTTCTGCTTCCTTACATTTTCTTCCTTTGGAAATCTGTATCTTTTGTTTACTTTTTATGCCGTGTGGGCAGAGGGTGCAAGACAGTGGTGAGCATTTTGGTGAGTAAGGCTTGCTTCAGAGTTGAGAAGAGCTTCTCACACCACATCCCAGTCTTCCTCCAGTTCTCAGCACAATTGTTGCTCTTCAGTCATAACCACAGTCTGAATCAAAAAGTATTTTTAAATCTCCATGAGTTCTCCCTTTATTGCAACCAACCCTGATAATGCTTGTTAGTGCCTATCACCAGATCTCCAAAGTGTACTCATCCAGCTCAGTTCTCAGACATGTCTACACAAGACCCTATAATGCAGGGAAGTTGCATGGGCACTGCAAAGGAGAGAATCAAGAATAGCCAGGCCTGTCAGTCTCACAGTATCACCCCTTACCCTTAACATTCCATAAAGCTATAGAGTTCATTTGTTTGTCCATCTGCTGAAATGAGAAAAGAAAAATTCATGCACTGATTTAAAACAAACCAAAAAAAAACTAAAAAAAAAAAATCCTTTTCTTTCTAGCTGAACAAAAATGTGCAGTTAATACTTGGCGCTTGAAAATGCAGTAGTGAATGTGGAACCAAGCTGTCTGTATATCTGGTAGCTCTCTGCTTTGTTTTCCTTACCAGTATTCTGCCTAATGTTTGCTTCTGTGATGGTTATATTGCCTAGCAAGCACACCTGTGGTTGTGAAAATAGTATAGCAAAAAAGAAAAATCCCCGGTTATTGATGTACTAGATTTGTGTATGTCTTTTAAACAGTTCTAGTTTCACCTTACACGGAATAATCAGGAAAAAGTGTAAAAACTCAAAAGTGAAATAAAAAATTTTATCAGTTAGTTGCTTGTGAATTGATGTGCCACCACTATCTCTATTGATGCAGAACTAGCTAGGTACTCTGATCACCTATTTTTACTTCTGTTTTCTTGAAAAATGGATAAAACAGGTGGGAGATGGGTACACTCCTGTAATCCCAGCTACTTGGGAGGCTGTTGCGGGAGGATCACAAGTTCAAGGCCAAATGGGCAACCTACCCCTACCTATTTCAAAAAAAACTTTGTTGCTCAGTGGTACAGCACTTGCCTAGTATGTGCAAGGCTCGGGTTTAATCCCCAGTACCATAACAAAAGAAAAATAGGAAAATAGCTTTATTTCATCCTTCAGAACCGAAATCAAAGGTGTGATAAAGAAATTACCATTAATTAAACACTCTCTACTTGCGACCTCTCCAACATCTACAGTAAACCAGATGTTAAGGTCCTTTTTGTGGCTTGTAAGATTTGGTATGCACAGTTATTTTGCAGCACTTCCCAAACCCTGACTTTTTTTTAAATCCTAACATACAACCTAGTCAATGAGATGAAACCAACTTTAGGGTTGCTTGAGTCTTGGTACTGCTGTTCATGATAACTGGCAGCACTTTCTTCATAGGGTTTACACCACTTCTAAAACCATCCACACTCCTGTAGGAGAGAAGTCTCCACAGAGGGGTATTTTTTAAGATGAGAACTGGTACCTGTAGTGTGAGGCTAGACAGGCAGACCAGCTCCGGCCCCCGTTCATGAACTGTCACACCTGTGGAAGCCATGCCCAATCCAAGATCAGGGGAAGCTGAGGCCCTGGAAGAACCACTATAAAGGATCCGTCTACAATGGACAGGAATTTAAACAAAATGGTCCTACATTGGGGCTGCAAACAGCCTCATTGCTTATTGTAGGGCCACTTCCTTGGCCCTTTTCTGCTCTTGGGTCCCTATTGTTCCCATGCAAGTAAACCCCTGATGGGATGCAGGTGGAAGACCTCCTCCACAGGTGGCAGGTGATGTCTCACCAAGAGGTCTTGGCGGTGGAACAGCCAGTTGCAAGGGAGGCCTGAAGGACAGGGATCCCCAGTTCTGAAGCAGCCTTTGGCCCCCAGTCACTGAGGTTTACCATTCCGGCACATTAGGGTGGGACTGGGTCGAGCTGCTTCAGAAAAACATTTCCGTAGGCAGGATAACAATCTGTACCCAAGTTGAAACAGCGTATCTGGCTCAGAATTTTCCCCTCTGCAAGTGCAAAGCGCAAAAAGCAGTTTCTAATCCTTGACAAGAGGGAGACCCCGTTCATTTTACAGAGAAGGAAAATGGGTCCAGAAAGGCGCAGAGTGACTGGATTAGAACTCCGTCCGTAGCCCGCCCTTCCTGAGCTGCCCACCGGCGCCCGCAGCACCCTAGGCCGCCCGAGGCCCTCCTCCGCGGCGGGGTCTGAGATGTCTCGCACCTGCGACTTGAGATGGCTGAGGGCCCCCAGGTGGGGTGGGGCTGGGCCCCGGCGATTGGCTCGCTGGCCCGGGGGTGGGGGCGGTAAAGGGAAGGGGCGGCTGGGCGCGCAGGAGGGATAGTCCTGGGCCGCCGCAGGGTAGGTCCCTGCCTGCGCAGCGCGGGCCTCGCGGTGACCCACTTCTCGTCTCCCCCGCACCCGGCTGGGTCCACCATGAACGCCGGCGGCCAGGGCTACCCGTTGGCCTCGCTCTACGTGGGCGACCTGCACCCAGACGTGAACGAGGCCATGCTCTATGAGACGTTCTCGCCCGCCGGCCCCATCCTGTCCATCCGCGTGTGCCGCGACGTGGCCACCAGGCGCTCGCTGGGGTACGCCTACATCAACTTCCAGCAGCCGGCCGACGGTGAGCCCCCGGGAGGGCGGACGAGAGGGGACGAGCCCCAGTCCAGAGAGACCGCCCCCAGGACTGGCCGCTCGCTTAAGTGTTCCATTTTGCAGTCAGGAAAACTGAGGCTCAGAGATGCAGGGTCTTGGAAGGGGCTCGGTAGCTGAGGCGAGAATTGCAGTGACTGCCTTGCTCCGTTTGTAGAGAAGAGAGATTAAGACCACGTGAAAACAGCTAAAGCCTTTGGGGTAGGGCAGACCTGACCTGACCCCCAAATAGACAGTTGTGGTTACTCAACCATTCTGAGCCCAGTTGCTTCTCCGCAAAATGCAGCTCCTGTCTGCTTTCAGGAGTGGTTGTGAGGATGAGATTGGAAGCACCTGGGGAGGGAGGCGCCCAAGACGGCACAACTCAGCTCGAGAGTGCAGAAACCTGGGCGCCAGCGTCCCAGGGAGCCTGACATGAGGTCTACGCTGTGGCCTCCACTTTCCCCGAAAAGCCCTCTCTTCCAGCCGGTGTCCCAAGGCTGATAGGATTGATTAGACTTCGTTAGACGAGTAGGTCTGCACCTCTTTTGAGAATGGAGGACACTGTGAGGTGAGCTGGGGCAAACGACCCCAGTATCCATGGGGCTAAGGCTTACTTCCCAAGAGAGGAAGCATGGAGAACTGTAGAATCCCAACTAGTCCAATTTGGAAGGCCGAGCAAGAAGGATCCCAAGGTGGAGGTCAGCCTGGGCACGCTGGAGACTCTGTCTTTAAAAAAAAAAGGAAGTGGTTTGTGTGGGCCTGGGGATGTGACTCAAGGGTAGATCTTGCCTAGCATGGGGGAGGCCCTGAATTCCATCCCCAGAACACCCCCCCGCCCACCCACACACACAGAGAAAGGAGATCTGGATTGAAAAATAGTGAATAATGGCTGTAATGCTGTGGTGTAACCCTCCAGAAACATGACCGAAAAAAGCCTGCCCCAGCCTCAGTCCAAAAGAAGGTGGCTTACTGCAGGGGTCCTGGGAGGATGGGCAAGTTCTCCTGAGCTGGGGTTTGTGTGGCTGAACTGAATGCTTCCCCCTTCCTCTGTCCCGCCCCACCTGCTATATGGTGTTCCTGGCTTCCTAGCCCCTCTGCAAGCATGGCCAGTGTCCAGGGACCTGACCTTTTGGTCCCAGCTCATAAACGGGGGCACTGAGCTGCAGGGAGCAGGAGTCTTGCCCCTGGCTGCCGATGCTGGGACTGGATGAGGGACTCCTTGAGGCTTGCTCCCCTGCACTTCCCAGCTCCCTCCATGTCTCTGAAACTAGCAGAACCCCAAAGCAAAGGCAGTGTATTTATTATCTTGGAGGGACAGGCAGTGGCAGCGGCAGGAGGGTGAATAGGAGTGGCTGTTTTCAGACACACTGCCATCTACCAGACTCCTATTGCACATCCAGTGCAAAGTGCAAACGTGTCACATTGTATGCCTGACTTTTCAGTCTGTCCAACAGGTTGGGGGTAGGTGACATTACTTCTTTTCTAGGTGTGCAAAGGAGGTATTGTCATTGTCCTCACTTTACAGGTGAGGAAACGGGCTCAGACAGGTGGTGTTCACTTTCCTCACAGCTGGACTGCCTGGGTGGGACTGACTCTCAGCTCTGCTGTTCATCACCTTTGAGCTTTAATTTCCTTAAACTGCTGCCACCCCTTGTCATTTGGACCCCTCTGTTACATTCTCATCTACTCAGTGTGCTTAAGAGGACAAAATAGACCTGGCTCTGCCACTAACATTTCACCCTTCTAAGCCTCAGTTTTCCCTTCTGTAAAATGGAGATGGGAATCCTTGCTCACCTGGGTTTGGGGAGGTGGGAGTAGCACTGTGCACATTAATTTCTCAGCCCATCCCTCCTGAGCTTTTAGGCTCCTGTCTCAGGTGAGAACCACACAATGGCCGTTTTCCAGCTCTAATTAAGTGTCATAGATGGTCAAGGTCAGGAAATTCCCTTAATCTGCTTCTTTCTTTCCTCCTGTCCAGCCGAGCGGGCACTGGACACAATGAACTTTGAGTTGATCAAAGGCCAACCCATCCGCATCATGTGGTCACAGAGAGACCCAGGACTCCGCAGATCAGGTGTGGGCAACATCTTCATCAAGAACCTGGAGGACTCCATTGACAACAAGGCTTTATATGATACCTTCTCCACCTTTGGGAACATCCTCTCTTGCAAGGTGGGTGTGCCAAATACCTGTGTGGTGCAGGGCTGCCAACCAGCACTTCCCTTTACAGTTTAGAAGGTCCTTTCAGCACAGCCCCAGGTATAGCAAGCACTTGAACTACAGCTGTTCTTCTCAGTTTGTCTCAACAGAACTAACAGAATCTACCTGTCAGCCCTCTGTGTGACCAGCCCCAAGTGGTGGCCATCAGCGACCACTGTCTATCTAGATCATAGCTCTGCAGTTGGTGGTTTGTTCTGAACCCAGTGGGGCATTTTGGTTTGACCTTGGCTGCCCTCCCTCCTGTGCTCCTTCTGCCTGATGGGAGGCCTCTGGGGCGTATGAAGCAGTGCTTGGCTGGGAGCTGGGAGCTCGGCTTTCCTCCCTGTGGCCTCCCACCCTCCAGCGGCCTAGCTTGGGCCCCCGTAGACAGAAGGTAGAAACTCACTGGGCATTCTGAGTCTTGAACTCAGAACTAGGATACGAATATTTCTGCATGCTGTTAGCCAAGACAAGACTCAAGACCAGCCCACAGGCAGGGTGAAGAGTGAGGGGGCTAGAGATTACAGGACAAAGGCTACAGGAAAGCCATGAATGGGGCTATCATGGCCATCAGTGTCCACATCTTGTTTTTGTTGTGCCTGCTGAATACAAGTGGAACCACTGAGCTGCACCCCCAGACCCTGCCACATCTTGTTGTTAAGGTTTCTTTGGGGGCTGGAAATGGAGCTCAGGGGTAAAGCACTTGCCTAGCATACATGAGGCCCTAGGTTTGATCCCCAGCACCAAAACAAAACAAAAGGATTTTTCTCCCATTGGCATGCAAGTTCACTCAGAGTAGTGATCCTGTACTTAGTCACTGTTGCATCCCAGTATCTCAACTAGCCATGAGCACATAATAGGTGCTCAGTAAATATTTGCTGAGTGATGGGATGAATTATCATTTGAGAAGGTCTCTGATTGTTCTCACTTTGTCTATGAAGATGTTGAGCAGCAGAGGCCAGACAGCAGGTTGGTGTGTGCTGGCCAGAGGGCTTAAGCCTGGGTGTTCTGCCCCTGCGTTGTATGGGGATGGCTGGTGAGTTACCCTGCAGCCTCTGGGGCAACCACCTTCCTGGGGGCTTATGGCCATCTCTGTCTTGGAACTTTTCTGAGTGCTACTTTGTGTCAGGCACAATCCCTACGTTCTAAGGCCTCATGCCTTCTCTATGGATGAGGGACTCTCCCTGTGGTTCAGAGGAGCAGACTGAGACTTGAGGTATAGTAATATGCTAAAGTTCCCTGTGACAGAGAGATAGGGCTGCTCCCCATCTTTGAGGATCAGTGGAAGAGAGAGACTCTTCAGTAACAATGACAGATTTGCTAAGTACCTTCTAGTGCTAGGTTTTCTGCACATATGGTCACATCCAATTTCCCTCCACAGCCCCTTAAATCATGCAAAGGATCACTGAGTTGCACTTGAGGACAGAGAAGTTGAGAGAGTTGGAGTCCCTTGTCCACAGTTATGTTGCACTGGGGGTTGATTTTTAGTGGCAGAATCAGAATTTGAATTAGTGGATTTGCCACTGAAGAAAATTGAACAGGGATCAGTGTGTCTTTGCCGGCTACGGGCCTTGAGGTCCTCTGGGACTCTGAGGAGTAGACAGAAAGCTCCGTGTGATGCAGGCAGGTCTTTGCAGACTTAATGAGGCTCTGTTGTGGGCCGGTTTAGAAACAAGGCTTACGGTGTGTCCCTCACCTTGGGAGCTCTTGGGCCAGTTGGAGATGGAATAGCTGGAAATCAGCTCTGAGGGAGAAGCATGGTGATCGTGATGGTGATAAGGAAGGAGAGAGCCATTTAGCTGTCAGAGAGGTTTCTGTGTCACTGTGGGAAGAGCACATAACCTGAATCGGGTCACCTAAGTGCCAAGCCCAGTTGCTTAGTCGGGAGCAACATAAGGTCAGACCATGGTCTGGGGCCAAATGTCCTGTGTTTAAACCCTGCCTCTTCCACTTCCTGGTTCCATGACCTTAGGCCTAAAAAGGTGACTTTGGTAGGAGGAACCTACCTCATAGGTTGTCATGAGGATAAACTGAGTTATGTGGAGCCAATGGAAGGACACTTGAAGTACTGTCAGCAACACATGGCAAGTAAAATAACTAAGAAGCTCTTCCTGCTGGCTGACCTTGGACAAGTCATTTATTTCCATTTTCCCTCTCCGACTCAGGTTGAGAATTGTCTGGGAGGTTTCTCCTAGCAAACATATCAAGAAAAGTATAGGATGCTCTTGCAAGTGTGCGACCCACAGTGGGGTCCCAGTCAGTGTTACTGAGTGTGAGTGGAAGAGCCCTGTCTGGGGCTGGGAGGTGGAGGGTGTGTGCTGGGCATGAGTTTGGATGCAGGATCAGTTGTGCAGATCTACTGGAGAGCCTCAGACGCTGAGAATTTTGTGCGTAGGAGCCACTGGAGCTCAAACAGACTGGTCAGAACCACATTTTAGAAAGAGCATCCCAAGCTGGGCACAGTGGTGCACACCTGTAATCCCAGCTACCTGGGAGGCTGAGGCAGGAGGATGTCAAGTTTGAGACCAGGCTTAGCAATTTAGTGAGACCCTGTCTCAAAATAAAAAATAAATAAAAGGGCTGGGGATGCAGCTTAGTGGTAGAGTGCCCCTGGGCTGAATCCCCAGTGCTACTGAAAAAGAAAACACAATGGGGGTCTGAGGACCTGCTGGCGTAGGAAGGCAGAGCTGGTCTGTGGTGTGGCGCAGTGTGCTCATTCTGAGTACTCGATCATCTTACGCAAGTGGATCGGTCTCTTTGAACTTCAGTTTCCCATCTCTACAATGGTGCTGTTATGTGACATAGGATTATTTTCTATTTTTGGTGCTAGGGATGGAACCCAGGGAGGCAAGCACTGTCCCACTGAGCTATCCCGGTCCTCATGGGACCATCTTTGACACGCGCAGAGTGAGCACACGGGGGCTGGGCACTCATGATCATCTTTGTCATCCTTTTCTCCGGAACTTCGATTGGGGGTTGGATGTTCTGTCTGTCCTTCCTCCCTGTGGTCCAGGTGGTATGTGACGAGCACGGCTCTCGGGGCTTCGGCTTTGTGCATTTTGAGACCCATGAGGCTGCGCAGCAGGCCATCAGCACCATGAACGGGATGCTGCTGAATGACCGCAAAGTGTGAGTGGCTGTGCCCAGGGGAGGGTCGGAGGCTGGAGGGACAGGACCGTGGCTCCCACCAACTAGGAAAGGTGGGTGCCAGACGCTGGGCAGCAGTCTTCCCGAAGCATGACCTCAGGCAAGTTGCTTGACCTCTCAGGGCCTCTCCTGATGTCAAACTGGAGCTGATGCGGGTGTTAAAGGGTTGTCCCGGGTCAGAAATGCAGTGACCATCTCGAAATTTGAGAGGGGATTTCGGCTGAAGGCCACATGGTCCATGGACTCAGTCTTCTCAGTCTGGCTGTGCATTTTCCTTAAACCTTGTTTGTTTCATGGGATTTGGGGACAGAAGGAAAAGCAGCACATGCTTAGCCTGTCCAGGCCGGTGTCAACCCTGCTTTACAGATAGGAAGGTACAGATGCTGGGGGGGACCTGCTTCTGGCTGCGCCCTCCCCAGTGTGGATTCTGCCCATCTGGTGGCCCAGCCCTCAGTGCTGTGGAGTGAAGGCGGCTTTGAGCTGGGAGAGTACCTGGGGGCATTTTGTCAGGGTCTCTGGTGGCAGGGGTCCTATTGACAGGTCACACTGACCTAGGTGGGCTTTTACCAGTTCTCAAAAAGGTGTCATCTTGCCTGGAGTGGAGGCGCACGCCTGTAATCCCAGCGTCTCGGGAGGCTGAGGCAGGAGGATCATGAGTTTAAAGCCAGCCTCAGCAATGGCAAGGTGCTAAGCAACTCAGGGAGACCCTGTCTCTAAATAAAATACAAAGTGGGTCTGGGGATGTGGCTCGGTGGTCAAGTGTCCCTGAGTTCAATCCCTAGCACACCCCCCCCAAAAAAAGTATCATCTTTGTTAGCAAATATTAACTCACATTTCCCTCTGCCGTTTGGTTTTCATCAGCGCCCCTAGATTCACACCTACCACAGAGCTATGCTTTTATGTTTTGAGACGGCGTCTTGCTAAATTGATAAGGCTGTCCTCCAACTTGCAGTCCTCCCGCCTCACCCTCCCAAGTCCCTGAGATTACAGGCGTGGTGACGGCACATAGCTATGCTTTTTTTTCCCCTTAAGGAGACATGCCAGCTCGGCATAATGGCGCTGTCTGGTGGCCCAGCTACTTGGGAGGTTAAGGCAGGCAGACTGTGTGAGTCTGGGCGTTGAGACCAGCCTGAGCAACAGTGAGACTCTGTCTCTTTTTAAAAATAGAAATAAAATGGAAAGAGGAAAAAGGTACTCTCCGAGGTGGGTTTATGTGAACTTGGAAATTACTTAAAATTAATGTTGTATTTAAGGGATTTCAGCCCATCCCCCAGAGTGACATTGGCATTGACCTTGTCTGATTGACTCAGTCCTGCTTTTCTAGTGCACTCGGTATGTATTAAATGAATAAGCAAAGCCTCATGATGTGATTTGGATCCCAGTTTCACAGGAATGAGCACTGAGGCTCAGAGAGGTGAAGTAACTTGCCCAGGATTACACAGGGAGGCAGATGCAGACTGAGGATTCAAGTTCTTGTCTAAATCCCAAATTCATGCTCTTGCCTCCTGTGCTCTTAGCTGCCTGGTATATGGTGTGTGTTTGTCACAAAATAAAGTCTTCTGAATCTTATGCTAGGGACAAGCTCTGAAACATAGCCCCTTGGCTGTTGGAGAGTCTTGGACAGGTTCATCTACATGGAATGGCCCTGTGCAGTTGCCCAGTGAGGGAGGTGGAGGCTGGGAAGGACAGTGACTGGCACAAGTGGCCCAATGATGCTGGGTGGCTTGGGGGTGCGGTGAGGGGTGCTAAGGTCTGGCCGCTGCCTGCCCTGGTGGTGTGTCCACAGCTTTGTTGGCCACTTCAAGTCTCGAAGGGAGCGGGAGGCCGAGCTGGGCGCCCGGGCCCTGGAGTTCACCAACATCTATGTGAAGAACCTGCACGTGGACACGGACGAGCAGGCCCTGCAGGACCTCTTCTCCCAGTTTGGTGTGTGGGTTCCCTGAGGGAGGAGGGTCCCTACTGCTCCTCTGTCACACCCAGGTTTGCCATGAGGAGGGCCCTCCTGAGGCTTCCCGAGGTCAGGGAGGGAGCATCCTGGGGCTCCCCACCTCCCCTTTGAGCCAGGTTGATCCTTCCCAGGAAAGATGCTGAGTGTGAAGGTGATGAGGGACAACAGCGGCCACTCCCGGGGCTTCGGCTTTGTCAACTTTGAAAAGCATGAGGAAGCCCAGAAGGTAGGAGCCGCCCAGTGGCTCTGTTCCAGGGAGGAGGGGCAGAGCCAGGACCAGGAGGAAGGGAGATGGGGCGTATGGGCCTCCAGCCGCTGTGGAGGGGAAGAAGTTCCCCTCTATTTGGGCCAAGAGGGTGGGAGAGTCTGGCCCTTCTAGGCTGGGGGGCAAAGGCTCCATCCCCAAGGTCACTTCTAAGCCTTGCAGTTCAAAGAACTGAATACTGAGGCAGGGAAGCCAAAGTCCTCATCAGACACAAATCTTTACTAATGAACCAGCCACTTAAGACAGTTCCCTGCAACATTTCTCCTAACACAGTGTAAAAAATAAAAAACCCATGAAAAATCCTAGCCACTGAGTCAAGAAATGCTTGGCATTGACTTCTGATTTTTGTGGTTGAGCTAATGAAAATGCAGTTCAAAGTCCATAGATAACAGAGATAAGTTGCACTTCTTGCAGAGGATGCAGAATTTTATGCAGTTAACTGGCCTAAGCCTGCTAAATCCTTAGTTTAAGATACAAATATTTTCTTTTCTTTTTCTTTTCTCTTTTCTTGGGATTGAACCCAGGGGCACCTCACTGCTGAGCCACACCCCCAGCCCATTTTATTTATTTTTTATTTTTTAAATTTTTTTAGAGAGAGAATTATATATATATATATAAAATATATAATGTGTGTGTGTATATATATATATGTGTGTGTGTGTATATATATATATAAAATAATGTGTGTGTGTATATATATATGTGTATATATATATAAAATAATGTGTGTGTGTGTGTGTGTGTGTATATATATATATATATATACACACATTTTTTAGTTTTCGGTGGACACAACATCTTTATTTTTATGTGATGCTGAGGATCGAACCCAGCGCCCCATGCATGCCAGGCGAGCGCGCTACCACTTGGGCCACATCCCCAGCCCAAACCCATTTTATTTTTTTGAGACAGGGTTTCACTGTGTTGCTTAGGACCTTGCTAAAGTTGCTGAGGCTGATCTTGAATTTTTGATTCTCCTGCCTCAGCCTCCCTAGTTTCTGGGATTACAGGCGTGTGCTGCAATGCCCAGCTAAGATACAAATGTTTATTTAAAAAAAAAAAAAAAAATTACAGGGCTGGGTTTGTGGCTCAGTGGTAGAGTGCTTGCCTAGCAAGGGCGGGGCCTGGGTTCGATCCTCAGCACCACATAAAAAAAATAAAGATATTGTGTTATGTACATCTACACCTAAAAAATGAAAAAAAAAAAAAAACTTACAGTCCTCAGTTAGCAAAAAGGATTCTTTCGTACTGTGAAATTCCGATATGAAGTGATGATTATAACTATCCTTTTGTGTGTGTGTGACTGAAGATTGATCCAGGAATGCTCTACCTCTGAGCTACATCCCTGGACCTTTTTTATTTGAGACAGGGTCTTGCCAAGTTGCCCAGACTGGCCTCAAACTTTCGATCCTCCTGCCTCAGCCTCCCAGGTAGCAGCTGGGATTACATGACATGATTACAGCTGTGCCTTCATGCCCAGCAGTAATCATGACATTTGCTTGCTGCTCTGTTCAAATTGTCCACATGTAGTTGCAGTAAGAACTTGAATTTCAGATATTTTCTAGCAGACTTTACTTTTTAAAGCAGTTTTAGGTTCACAGCAAAATTGAGTGAAAGGCACAGGTATAGGTATACTCCCTTTACCCCTACACATACCTGGCCTCCCCTATTGTCATTGTCCCCCAACAGAGTGACATACTCATTATAGCTGATGAACCTGCACTGGCGCATGGTTATCACAGGACATGTGCTCATTGTCTCACTATCAGCGTTTCACTGCCCTAAGAAACTGTGCTCTTTCAGCCTTCCCTACCCACCAGCCACTGGCCAACACTGACCATTTGTACTTACCTCACAGTTCTGCCTTTTCCAGAATGTCATATAGTGGAAATCATATAGCATGTAGCTTTTACAGGTTGGCTTCTTTCACTGAGTAATATGTGTTTAAAATATGGGAATACTTGAATATATTTAAAATAATTAAATTTTAAATATGGCTCAGTGGTAGAGCACTCACCTAGCATGTGCAAGTATTGTGTCCAACTACAACTAATTTATATATTTATATATATATTTTTTTAATTTAAATATGGGAAACTTTGCAGACTTCAATTTTTTTTTTTTTAAATAGAGCCCTACTCAAATTTTAAAGATCTATAATTCACTTTGCAAAACTTTTCAAATGACCTTTATCCGGTACTAATGATCCTGAGCAAGGAAGGCCAGAGTGGTTTGCAGGGAGTTCCCTCTAGGCCCAAAGGCAGGGCTGGAGACCAAGGAGATGGCCAGGTGTGGGTGGTTACCAGGTGTTTGCTCCCCACCCACCCCAGGCTGTGGACCAAATGAATGGGAAGGAGGTGAGCGGGCTGCTGCTGTATGTGGGCCGAGCCCAGAAGCGGGCAGAGCGGCAAAATGAGCTGAAGCGCAGGTTCGAACAAATGAAGCAGGACAGGCAGAACCGCTACCAGGTGAGCCCAGGCCTTCATGTGGACAAAGGGCTCCACATATTCCAAATCCCCTAGAGGAAATCCTACTCCAGGCTACGAATAATTAGGCCAAATGTGGCACATTCAAAGGTTGGAATGTGGTGCGATCATTAAAATTATATTAAGTAAGGGGCTCGAGCTGTGGCTCAGAGGTAGTGCGCTTGCCTGGCATGTGGGAGGAACTGGGTTCAATTCTTAGACCTTTATTTTTTATTTGTTTATACGTGGTGCTATCAACATAAAAAATATTTTAAAAATGTTTTAAGTTAATTCATGTAATTAAAATTGTAGCTCAGTACAATTTAAGCCTTCTTTGGGAAATGAATCCCTCAAAAGTTTTTAATAGAAGTTCTAGGTCCCTCATGGAGAAGGGTGTGTGTACTCCATATATACCTACACCCACGCGCGCAGTCCATCCTCAGTAGCGCACAGTGAGGAGCAGTTTTTCCTCTTTACGCTAGGGACGTTTGGCAATGTGTGGAATTTTCAGTGGTCGTGTTTTGGGGGCAGGGTGCTACTGGGTACAGGCCAAGGACACAATATGGGCAAGCAGGATATTCAACTGTACAATGGTGGGGTCTCAATTCTGTTGTGTGTTCACACACTTTTGTGCTTGGGCAGTCTGGAAGGAGGACATTGAGGTCCTGGGGGCAGCTGACATTCAGTGCCAAGGAGCCAGGGGTCTGAGGTTAGACCACCGGGGTCAGTCCTGTCTGCCACCTCCAGGCTATCTGATCAGAAGCGATGCACTTGACCTGTTTCTGCTTCAGTTTTGATGTGTGTGAAATGAGGATTAAAGTCTCCTTCTCTTAAGGATTAAATGTCAAAATGTGTGAAGGACCTAGGGGTGTGCCTGGCACCGGGGGAGGGTCAACTTACTTGGTTCTGAGCCAGCAGGCGTGAGTGGCAGCTGGCCCTGCCTGGGAGGAGCTCTGCGTCCCCCTGTGTCTCCCATCTATAAAGTGCGTAAAGCCCATGGGGAGGTGGGGACCCAGGCAGGTGTATGAGAACTGCCCGGGGCTGCAGCTTCTGGGTAATGGGCATGCTGAGCCATGGGAGCCTGAGAACAGGAGGCTGGGCTGGCAGGGCTCCCAGTGACTCTTGTGGCCATGGCAGCCGATGTTGTCCTGAGGCAATCTGGGGCTTGAGGCGGGAGGGCGAATCAAGCAGTGCCCTTTCCTATAGGGCGTGAACCTGTACGTGAAGAATCTGGATGACTCCATTGATGACGAGAGACTGAGGAAAGTGTTCTCTCCCTACGGAGTGATTACCAGTGCGAAGGTGAGGGCCGGGACGCGTCCAGGGCACAGCCTCCCCTTCACCCTCCCATCCCGCACGCCCACCAGCCTCTCACTGGGCATTTGGGGAGTTGGTGCTGGGCTTTTTAGGGCTCCGTCTGACCCTATTGGAGCTCATAATCCATCTGCAGCCTTGTCTAGGTTGGAGGGAAAGAAAGTAGATGTATAGTCTACTACTGGATTTGTTGGGGTGCACTGTAACAACATTTATTGAGCACCTGCTGTATGCCAGATTCTGGAAATTTATGTCTTAAAATTTCTGTGGACCTTTGTTTTCTGGCTTTGGCCAATGACATAACCCCTCTGGGCCTCCGTTTTCCTATCTGAAAAATGAGAAAATTGGGTTGTATTGGTTTTCCACATTCTTCCCCATTTATTGAGCCTGTGTGCCCACCCCTGTGAGACATCTGAGATGTGAAAATGGTCCTCCTACTCAGTAACTCTATGACCCTGACCAGGAGTCTTAACTTCTTAGCCTTATCTCTTTAGAGCCATGGGCTCACTGCATGGTGCTCAGCCCTGGCTTCTTGAGGATTGCCTGGAAAGTTATTCAGTACAGACCTGGATCAGACAAATTGAATGTAGATATCTGGAGGCAGGGCTTGGGCACCTTTTGAAAAGTCCCCAGATGGTTTTAAGATGACCCATAGCTTATTCATCCCACACTGTGGGAAGCATCTAGGAACATACCAGGTGTGTTCTGGAACAGACTGGTATGTTCTGTTAACAGCCTTTAAATACTGTGAACTCATAAGAACGGGGGATGCTGGAGGCAAAGCTAGGTGGGAAGGAGGGAGGCTTCCTGGAGTAGCAGTGGCAGCAGCGTTTGACTTGTCAGGCTCTGTGGGTGGGAATTCGGAACAGTGTGGGTGATGGGGCTGGGGACCTGCGCATATGTGATGGTTGGGGTCTTAGAAAGGGATCTAGAATTTCTCTCGACATTGAATCCAATCTTAAACCCTTCAGGGAGCCTGGTATCTGGGGAAGATTCTCATTTGGGAGGGTGGAGAGGTAGAGACCTTTTGAAAAATGAGACAGGAAGCTATGGGATCAGGTCCTGCTTTTAGGAAGTGCAGCACCCTTGGTATTGTACTGGAAAGCTGGGCTCTTGGAGTTCCTTAGACCTACATCTTAAATCCCAGCCTTACCATTTCCCAGCTGGAGAACCTGGGCATGTGAGTGCCTTTCAGACTCTGTTTACCCACCTGTGAAACGGAAGCAACATCATCCTTCGGGAGGCTCCCGAGTGCTGCGCATGGAGCTGCATACAGAGCACGTGCAGTCCATGTGCAGCAGGCCGGAGTGGCTGTGACCATCGGGCACACATTGTATTTAATTTAAGGAGATTCACTGACATTGAGGAGTCCTTGAACAAAGGACATATATAAATCTGGATTGCTCGGAGTTGAGGGACACCTGGGGTGATCATCTTTTCAGTAGGCCAATCAGGTTATGAGGATTTTATATAATTTTATATATTTTCCATTTTATATAAAGTAGTGATTATGAGAATTGAGTTGATGTATAAACTAACTACTATAAATACTTAGTCCACAGTCAAGTTCATAATAAATTCTGCATGTTTATTAATTATCATTACCATTGTTTTTAACCTATCAGTTTTTTTTTTTTGTTTTTTTTTTTTGCTACTGGGGATTGAACACAGGGCATTCTACCAGTGAGCTACATCCCCAGCCCCTTTTATTTTTATTTATATATATTTTTTACCAGGGATCGAACCCAGGGGTGCTTAACCACTGAGCCACATCCCCAGTCCTTCTTTATATTTTATTTAGAGACAGGGTCTCACTGAGTTGTTTAGGGACTCACTAAGTTGCTGAGGCTGGCTTTGGGATTCTCCTGCCTCGGCCTCCAGGTGTGCCTGGCATCCTACTAACAGTTCTTAACAGTTCTTAACAGTATTTTTGTGTCAACATCTCTGTCTGGTGAGCCTGTGGATCCCTTCTAATAATATTTTTAAATGATAAAATTCACAGGATTATAAAAACCAGTTTTATTGAAGTATGACATCAAAATACTAAAATGTCAGAAGTAAGTACTACTTGTTTTTTTATTGCGGTGCTTGGGATTAAACCCAGGGTCTTGTGCACGCAAGGCAAACAGTCTACCAACTGAGCTATATCCCCAGCCTAGTAAGAACTTCTTTATTAACACATCAACCTAAGATCTATCAGGGTAGCAGAGTAAATGACAGTTTGAGATCAGCAACATTATGTCATGATTTTTCTTCGTAATAGTCATAGGCCTGGTTAAAATTGCCATGATATTTTTCTTTTGTTGCCCATATTCATAATGGGAGGAAATGCTAGTGTAGAAATAAGGCTGTCACTTTTACCCATTAAGTTCATAGCCCCTCTGAATTCTATAATGACTTCCCTGGGTGGGGGGATCTATGGGTTCCCAGCTATACTGTGGGGTGGCTGTTTGAAAGTCACCAAGTCAGAGCACGGGCTCTGAAAGGGCAGGTGTTGGAAAGAGCTCTAGCCCTTAGAGTGTGGGAGCCCGGGCAGTGTGTCAACCTCAGGAAAGCTTACCCACAAAACAGGGAGAGATCCTGGAAGAGAAAAAATATTAGTTAAAAAAGTGAAATCCAAATGAAGTGTAGAGTGGGCGGGGAGAGTGTCATGGTTAATCACATTGCATCAGGGTTGGAGTCTGGACAAATGTGCCTTGCTAGCTTAGGGAGGCTGCGAGGGACCCAGGGCTCGGTACTGTTCCTGTAACTTTTCTGTAAGTCTGAAGTTACTCCAAAACAATGAGGCCATTTTATAAGGCTGAGAATATCTTCCCCAAACTCCTAAAAACTTGGTCCAGGGCCTTGCAGAGGCCTCTGGCTGTGTCTGGGTCCCTTTCTTCCCGTAAAGTGGGAGCTGCAGGACCTCCCTCACCGGGAGGCTGTGCACGTGAGCCTCATGTAAAGGCACGCAGTGTCTGGCACACAGTGGCCTCAGTCAACACAGGGTGCACAGCTTGTCCCCTGAGCACAGGTTTCTCACGGGGCTTCCTGGGGGAGGAGGGGAGCACAGCTCAGGAGTCTTCCTCCTCCATCCCCAGCAACCCTTGTCTTGTCTTGCTTTTAGGTGATGACAGAGGGTGGCCACAGCAAGGGGTTTGGCTTTGTGTGTTTTTCCTCTCCAGAAGAGGCAACCAAAGCTGTGACAGAGATGAATGGGCGCATCGTGGGCACCAAGCCTCTGTACGTGGCATTGGCCCAGCGCAAAGAGGAGCGGAAGGCCATCTTGACCAACCAGTACATGCAGCGCCTCTCCACGGTGCGGGCCTTGGGCCGCCCCCTCTTGGGCTCCTTCCAGCAGCCCTCCAGCTACTTCCTGCCCGCTCTGCCCCAGGTGACAGTTTGCCCACAGCTCCCGCCACACCCTTTCCCTGATAGCCAGGTAGATCAGGAAGGCGGGAGCTTCCAGGGAGAGCTTCTGTTGAAAATTCACTAGGCACTGTCCCAACCCCTGAAGCTGTCACCTCACCTGTAAAAGGTGGAGTACCTAGGAGCATCTCCCTGCCTGAGAGAGTCTTGAATCGCTTGTGCAGAAAGACTTTCTTTGGTCAGATAAGTTGAGGAGATGTTGTATCAAACAAAAGGAGCCTCCATTTCTTTACCACATCCACTATCCTGCCCGAACACCCTGACCCCACGGTGGCCCCCACAGAGGGGAGAGCAGGAAGCATTCCTCAGTTCATGGTGGTTTGTGTGGGGTGCCTGTTAACACCTCCCTGTGCTGCTGTTCTGAGGAACCTGGTTTGGGAAAGGACCTCATGGGACTTAAAGTAGGAAGACATAAGCCATTGAAAGCCACAGGGTTGGTGACATGCCCTCTCAGCTGGTACAAATCTGAGTAAGAGGTATTGCCTTTTTCATCTAGGCCTGATAAGGAGCAGGGATTGAAATCTGAGATCTTTCCCTAAAGGGTCTCATGAGAGAGGAAGGAGCCTTTTACTAACCTGTTCCCTAGAGAGGACAGTAGAGTTCCTGCAGTACTGTCCCTGAAAGGATGAGATTTCTCACCTGGCCCCTCTATTGCTGAGCCCCTCATTCTAGGTCCTCTTCTCCCCCACAGCCTCCGGCCCAGGCTGCGTACTGTGCCTCTGGCTCCATGGCCTCCATCCAGCCTGCCCCCAGGTGGACAGCCCAGCCACATAGACCTTCATGTGAGTGACCCAGCCCCCATACCCTCAGCCCAGCCTATGGGCATGGGCCCCAGAAGCAGTGTGTAACACAGGGTCAAGCCATTTCACCTCTCTTGAGCCTCAGTTTCCTCTTCTCAGTGTGGGCCTGAATGAGTGTGCATGAAGCCACCAGAACAGTAGCAAGGCTGTAGAGGACATGCAGGGTGGCCATTGTCCTTATCTCCAAAGACTTCTCTCATTTATAGCTGAACAATCGGGAGGCTAAGGCCCTAAGCAACTCAGCAAGACCCTGTCTTTAAATTAAAAAAAAAAAAAAAAAGGGGTGGAGTGGGCCCCCCCCGCGCCCCTCCCCCCTGCACTGGGGATGTGGCTCAGTGGTTAAGGCCCCTGGGTTTAATCCCCAGTACAAAAACAAAAACAAAAAAAAATCTTGTAACAAATCTGAGAAAATGAAACTCCTCTGGCTACACTGCTGATGACCTCCTAAGAGCCAAGTTCACGTTCACTTAAAACTGTCTTAGGGGAACTAAGGTGCATGACCCCAGCACTTAGGCATCTTGGGGCTTTGGGCAGACATGAGCTGGCTTTGTCACTGAAGATTTCCGTACTCCCACTCCCTGGTTTTGGGTTGGAGTCACTCATCTCTCTGCTGTCAATTTGTAGTTCTCTTCCCAGCCCCGGACCTTTCAGAGCATGGTGATTATAGCCCATAAACTTTCTCTCTCCATTTCTCTGTGCTGCAAGCCGTCTGTCCTCCAGCTGCTGCAATGGTCCGGCCAACAGGCATGTCTCGGCACCCCCAGGCCCACGCTGGCAGTGTCAGTCAGGCCTCCACTCAGGAGCTCCACCCGGTGCACCACGCCCAGAGAGTGGGTGAGTGTGCGCAGGGCCAAGAGGACTGTGGGTGTGAAGAAGGTAGGCAAGTCTTGGTGCTGAGGTTGGCCTTGGAGGGAGTAAGACCAGTCTCCATGGGGACCTTGCCTCCTGGTAAGCCATGCATGTATGTGGAAGTTAGCTTGGCCTCCAGCTCCTGGGACTTGCTCACTCTGTGGTCCTCACTAACTACTGTCCCTGATCACCTGTTCTTTAAAATGGGTATAAGAATAGCACGTCCCTTTTGTGAGGACAGAGAACACACAGCCAGGAGCTGGATCTTAGGACTGCAGTGGCTGTGCACACGTGTGGGCTTTGGCTGCAAGGCAAGCACAGCCATTGCTTCACTCAGCAAACCTCCTCATGCGAGTCTGTGTGCTGGTCTGCGCTTGGCATCTGGGGCTTCTGTATGAACAAGCTAGACTCAGTCCTTGGCCTGAGGTCACTGCCAGGCCCTCGCACCCTGCTTTTTTCTTTTTATTGTGGTAAAATATACATAACAATTTACCAGTTAACTTTTTTTTTTTTTGGTACTGGTGGTTGAACCCAGAGCATTCTACCACTGAGCTACATTCCCAGTCCTTTTTATTTTCAAACAAGGTTTCACTAAGTTGCTGAGGCTGGCCTCAAACTTGTGATCCTTCTGCCTCAGCCTCACAAGTTGCTGGGATTACAGACGTGTGCCACCATGCCCAGCTCCCTTACTCATCTTGAAGTGTACAATTCAGTGGCATTTAGTGCATTCACAGTGTTGCAGCCATTGCCACCATTCACCTGCAGAACTTTTCCTTGCAAAACAAATTATATACCCATTAAACCCTAACTCCTCACTTCCCCCCACCCTCCATTCCCTGGAAACCACCATTCTACTTTGTCTCTGAGAATTTGACTATACCAAGTATTTCATGTAAGTAGAATTATATAAATGTGTCCTTTTGTGACTTATTTCACTTAGCACAGTATCTTCAGGATTCACATATGCTGTGGCATGTGTCAGAATCTTTTTAAAAAAATATTTATTTATTTATTTATTTTTATATACTGCTGAGGACTGAACCCAGGGCCTCACACATGCAAGGCAAGCACTCTACCACTGAGCTACAACCCCAGCCCAGAATCTCCATTCTTTTTAAGGCTAAATAATATTCCATTGTACACATATGCCACGTGTTGCTCATCTGTGAGGGACACCTGAGCTGCTCCCACCTGCTGGCCGCTGTGCATGCTGCTGCTGTGGACATGAGTCACAAACCTCCAAGACCCTGCTTTCCATTCTTTTGGGTACATACCCACAGCGGAACTGTTGGGTGATTTGGTGATTCTCATTTTTTGAGTAACACTCATGTAACATGTTTTTCCACGGTGGCTGTTTTTTGCACTCCTGTCAAGAGTGCACGAGTGTTTCAATTTCTCTATGCTAACCAACACATTACTTTCTGTTTGGGGTTTTGTATTGTGGATAGCAGCTGTTTGAACCCTGTTTATTTTTTACAGCCAACATTGGTACCCAGACGATAGGACCCAGTGGGGCGGGATGCTCTACACCAGGCCGGCCTCTACCGCCATACAAATGTCCCTCAACTGTACACAGTACCCGTGGGGTAAGACTGGCCCAGCTGCCCGCCCTACTCTGGGCTATGGGAATCCTGGCTCAGAACCCTGGCTAATGTGTTGGCTTTTAAAGTTCCATTAACTAATGTGTGCAGCAGAAGGGGAAAGAGGGCCAGGGTCATATTTTATTTGCTAATTATGATTTGCTTTGCATAGGTTATTACTAAAATTAATTTGGATTTCTGTAGTATTTCTGTTGAACATCAGTGAAAGGTATTCTAAGAATATACTGAGTATTGAAGGGATGTGATTAAGTATCAAAATAGGACTAAAAATATCTACTATGATTTAATGAAAGACTGTGTATTTATTTTCCTACCAAAAAGAGGCCTCAAATTCAACACTATCATATCCTGTCTAGAATTCTAATGTGCCTAGTTGAACTCATCTTTTGCATTTGAACAAGAGTGGTCTTTAAACAGCAAAAACACTTTTTAAAGTTACCAACATGTGAAAGGGTGTTCTGGGGACGTGTCCATAAAGCTACCTGATACGGTGCTTTATCTGGCACTTAGTGATTAGTGATGCATGACTTTTATTTGGTAACACTGATTAGGGGCATATATGGGGTCATAGCACATCTAAGTCTTCTAACCCGTGTGCTCTTGTTAGGGACTCTGCCCCACCTGATTGTCCAGACCTTATCCCCGGCTCCCCTCTTCCAGAACCTTCCTGGAGGCCTGTGTTCACATAGTATTTGGAGGCCTTTCCCATCCCTGTGGTTAAGGGACATGTCCCCGGCACTGTATAGGTCCAGGAGCCTGCTGTGCACGTGCCTGGCCAAGAGCCCCTGACCGCATCCATGCTGGCTGCAGCGCCCCTGCATGAGCAAAAGCAGATGATTGGTGAGTGGCTAACACCCCTACATTGGGGCAGCAAAAGGAGGGCTGGGAGCTGATAAGACTGCTGGGAGCCTCACAGAGCTGCCCAGCGATCTCGCCCGATCTGCTTCTACCCTAGTCTTAAAACTCTGGTCAGCCCAAGCTTTTTCCAGTTCTGCTGTTCTGACTTACTTGGTGAGAGACACCCCAGATGTAGAGAGGGCCAGGATCAGGAGGCACCATAAGAAAGCGGACAACCTTGAGTTGAGGCTGAGAAATGGCCCAGGGGTGTTACAGTTTGTTACCAAATTTAATCTGTGTCCTGGTGCCCACTGCAGGGAGGTGCAAAAAATCTGTGCAAAGGACTCTTGAATTCCTGGTTCACTTCTGACCATGACATGAGACTGTGTGACTGAGTGAGCAGGCTTGTTCCTGATTGGCAGCATCTTCCCTGCATGGTCACCAAGATCTTCCGGCTGAAGGCCTTAGATACTTCCACACCGCTCATCTCTCGGTTTATTTATTAGGGTTTTGCCATTCCATATCCCATCCCATCTGCTATAAATTTTTTTTGAATGTGCTTAACAAAGGCAGAAGTTTTTCTTAGGCGGTCTCTGTAAACATTCCCTTATGGGAAGACCCTTATCCCACCATTTAAGATCCCAATCCTGGCTGGACCCTCCATGTGCCTGGTGCCAACACTAAGACTTCTTGTTAGAAATCCTTATAGTGGAAAATGAATGTGCCCTATGATTTGTTTTCCACCCTCCAAAGAAACTCCCAAGTTCAGCATTATCATATTCTGTCCAGAATTTCGATATATCTAGTTAGAACTATTTCTTGCAAAATGAACGAGTGGTCTTTAAACAGCAACTGACTTTGGGTTAGGCCCTGTGCTGTAATTACTTCATATACATTATCAAATTTGATTCTTCAAACTGTCCTTTAAGGCAGGGTTTGCCATAGGCACTATGCAGCTGAAAAAAGAAGTTCCCAGTAAGTGACACAGCCTAGAAGGAGCACTGGGTTAAGAACCCAGATGTCCTCGCTGCTCCACCCCTGATACCACTCTTGGGTGCTGGGCTATGTATGGGCCAGGTGTGGCATAAGCCATCAGAGCTTGTCCACACAGGGGAGCGTCTTTACCCGCTTGTCCATAACGTACACAACCAGCTGGCCGGCAAGATCACAGGCATGCTGCTGGAGATCGACAACTCAGAGCTGCTGCTCATGCTGGAGTCTCCAGAGTCCCTCCACGCCAAGGTAGGTAGAGCCTGGTCAGCAGGACAGCCAAAGACAAGGCCTGTCCCAGCCACGAGGCCAGATGAAGTGGATCTTCTTGCTCACACTCCTTGAAGGCCTGCTGAATGTTGGTGTGGGAGAGTGCTTCCCCCCCACTTTGGTACTGGGGATTGAACCCAGGGGTGCTTTCCCACCAAGCCACATCCCCAGCCCTTTATATTTTATTTAGAGACAGGGTGTCTCGCTAAGTTGCTTAGGGCCTCACTAAGTTGCCAAGGCTGGCTTTGATCTTGTAATCCTCCTGCCTCAGCCTCCCAAGCTGTTGGGATTTCAGGCATGCATCACCACACCTGTGGGAGAGGGCCTTAATTGAGGATGTGCTACTTGAGGTTTTGGTATAAGGAACTATATTCTGACTCAGTATAAGGGTTTTTTCCAGTGTCCAGCAGTGTACCTCTATCTTGACAAGGTGACCATGGGGCAAGGGATCTTGCAAGCAGCAGTGGATGAGGGGTTCACAGACCCTTTATCATGCTGAGGTGGGGGAGGCCAAGGCCCTTTTGGGATCCTTCTGAGAAGCTGTGTTAAGCCCCTCCTACTTGTGTCTCGCAGATAGAAGAGGCTGTGGCAGTGCTGCAGGCACACCAGGCCATGGAGCAGCCAAAGGCATACATGCATTGAAATCAGGTGGGTGGCTGTGCTGGGAGGACAGGGATACAGCAGCTGAGCTCAGAAGCAGCTGTGGACAACTGGGCCTCAGGCTGCCTCTCAGAAACTGAGAGCCGTGTTATGTTGTTGGCTTTGAGGCATCGAGGAAGCTGAGGAATCATCACATGAGATGATGCTCTATGTGGCTGAATGGTGAAGAGTCAGGGAGGTGCTCTTATAGCAGCTGCCCTACTGGCCTCATGCAGAATGGTCTGGGCTTTCCCTGGACACTGGCTGGCTCCATCAGCTGAATACTGGATGTCTGCTATCCTGTAGCAACAATTTTTTCCCTTTCATTCCCAGAAAATGGATTCCTTACTCCTGTGGCTGTCAAGAGAAACAGCATCTCCTGCTCTCAGCCCTGAGGCCCTGTGAACTATAACTTATTTCCCAACTGGACTGAATCTTTACTTGAGCCCTCTACATGGAATGAAGGCTGTCACCAAGCCAGCCATTTTCCCTTTTGTTTTGTGCATTAAAAGTGCTGCAAAATCTGGCCTCTTAGGAGGCTTTCTTGAGCCTGAGGGAGTTGGGGGCAAAGAAAAAAGCAGACTTGACTGGGGCTTTGACATAAGAAATAGAACCCCCAAAAGCACTAATGTACACAGGGTGCATACACTAGAACGGAACTGTCAGGAACTGAGCTAGGCTACTTGTAATAGCTCCAAATTAGAAATGACTGGCCCATCAGGAGTGCAGTGGATGGTTAAATGGGTCTCATACAATGGACTGAGAAAGTGGGAAAAAGCTACAGTGATGTGTGGCATTTCTGGACCCCTGGCTTCAGCAAACAGCTGGCAAACACCTGAGAAGCAAGAAATTGCTTCCAGGCCCTGGGCTGCTGGAGGAGTTGTGTAATTAAATGTAGGAATGTTAGGATGCCTTCCCAGATTGTGGTCTCCTTCCCCTGAAGGAAACTGAAAAGTCTCTGAAGAAGGTTCTTTGGGATAATTAGTCCTCACCTCCCATCAGGGATGTAGACCCCAGTTTTATGACCTCCCCTGTATCAGGGCAGCCAAAGGATAAGGGCAAGGATCACAACCCAGCACATGAGTACTGCCATAAGTTCACCAGCAATACATCCAACTGAGTCTTCAAGGTTGTACTGATATTCTGTCTTAATTCTCTCTCTGTTCTCTATAAATGTTCTATTTTTGGAGATGAGACCTAATTTGCCCATACTGGCTTCAAACTTGTGATTCTTCCATTTCTGCCTCCTGCATAGCTCAAACTATGTGCCACCACACCTGACTCACAAATGCTATTTCAAACTCTCTCCACTCCTCAAGCTTCTGGCCCCATATCCCCGGTGCAGATTTTATCTTCTCTTCAAATGCTGAATGCTAGAATTTCTTCAGGCCCTCTCCTCTTCTCTTCGGTATCTGATAATGGCATCTTCAATTTACACCTGCTCTAGGATGACTCTTGGAGACTCCTGGGTTACAGGTCTCATTTTATCTGCCATCAACTTTTTTTTTTGGGTGCTGAGAATTAAACCCAGGGCCTATTACATGCTAAGCAAGCACTCTACTACTAAGCCACATCCCCAGCCATCTACCATTAACACTTCCAACTTGTCTAAAATGAAGCTCATGATTCGATGTGCCTCTCCCCTCCAGTGGTCCGTGTTTTAATAGATGGCCCCACCCTCATTCTGTTGCAAAAGCCCCAATCTGAGGGTTCCCCCACCCCCTGTGCCACTTCACTTTCCCGCCTCAACTTCCACATGAAATCTATTAGTTTTTACCCCCCCCCCCATCTTTCTACTTCTAAATCCACTATCCCCACCCTAGTCCAAACTCAGATGGACTCTGGCAATAGCCTCTCAGTGGCTTCACTACATCTGCAATGACCATTCTCCCATGTCCTCTACCACTCAATCAGAAAGCTTGCCTCAGGATGCGCATCTTTCCTCTCACCCTGCGAAAGACCTTCAGTAGCTTCCTACTGTTTGTGCAGGGTCTCAGGTTTTGTCCTCGCTCTCTCTGGCTCCCACATAGGAATTGGAAGAAGACTCTGTCATTCCCATGTAATGACCTTGTCTTAGGATAGGGGGTAGAATTCATTTATGGCTATTAAGACAGTAATATTGATAGCTGTCCCTTTCCTAGAAATGTTAACCTATCACATGTAGAAATTTTAATCTTCATAGCCTCTCAGGAGATGGACGGTGATAACTTTCAAACACAGGTGATGACAAAGCTTACCATGACATTCTATATGTTTATCAGGAATTTAAGTACCAAAAAAAAAGGCCCCTTCGCCTGTGAAGGCCAAGGCCAAGGCCTGGCTGCCTGCTTCCATTGAGTCTAGATGTGCCTTCTATAGCTCTATGTGGGTTGTGATGGGTGTTGCCACTAAATCTGCCTCAAATCAGTGAAGCCCCAAAAGAAATAACGAGGTGTGGCTCCCCACTCTGACAAGGTCCTCTTGCCACACCTGGGGCCTATTGGGTGTGTCTGACTCCTACCATGAACTTGAGTCTACAGGTCTGTGAATATTCAGATAGCAAAAGACTCGTGCTTAAGCGCTGCTCCTGACCTCTCTTCACAGCTCATGTTCCTTATCACCTTTGTGATGAGAAGTATAAGCCAACAAACCTTTGTTTAATCATAAAACTTCTGCATTGAAGTAAAACTAATTTAACTAGGACCACAGCCCAGGAAGGGGAGGCAGCCCTTAATTCCTGTCAAATTCTAAAGTTCTCCAGCCTTACTCCAGGCCATGTTGTGTGAACCTGAGTGGTATTTTTTAGTCCCTGTGCTTCCTCACCACGTCCTCCCCACTAGGACTTTTACACAGGCTGTTGGGTCTCTGCACACTGCTTTCAACGCCCTCCCCCCTTCACCAGTTAACCTCTCACTTTAAAACACGTTCAAGCTTTACCCCCTCAAGGGCCCTTTTCCCTCGACTGTGGGAACCTCCCTGTGGAGGCAGGTAAGGTGCTGGTGTACTCCATGCTGCTCTGTAGGCTGTGGCTTTATTGGGGGTGATTATCTGATGACTTCTTGCCTTCCCACCGGACTGTCAGCCCTACAGCAGGTAGTCTATTCTTTGTTGCCTCCCCAGCACTGCATGCAGCACCTGGCCCATGCAGACATTTGAGTAAATTTGTTCAACAAATAGATGAAAGCACAAGAAGCAGCAGCTTCTATTGTTACTGCTATAATGGGCGCAAAGCTGAAAAGGCATAATTGAAAGTATGACTTCTGTACAGAAGAAAGCCTTTTAATGCAATAGCTTAACACACAGCTCAACAAATTCAGTCAGTTCAAATTAACTTCAACATATTACAACGAACTAAGAAGCCTGGAGGGGCCACCACTTTGGGGAGGGGGGGATGGGGAGGCAAATTGCTGCCCAGAATGGAAGGATACTGACCTCAAGGAGGCCCCTCTCCCCATCCCAAGAGGTGTGGCCATAACCATCGGGCTCTTGCAATAGCTTAGGTACCTCCATGCAGAAGGCAGCAGCACAGAGTCAAGGGCAGAGCCGTCTAGGGAACACAGCTCTGCCTTCTCACCAGAGCAGGGCCTGGAAAAAAGGCACTGGGGCTGACACAGAATTCTGTGCCCAAGACAGGGTGGGGACAGCAGCTGCAGCACTGGAGAACCAGCTCAACAGGCCGCTCTGGGTGTAGGTGGGCCAGGGATTTTAGCTTCTCCCCCACCTCTACCCAGGAGCTCAGTTCAGATTAACTGCAGAGAAGTGAGGTCTGATGCAACTACAAAGGCAGCATTCAATCTGCAGCACACTTGGGGCAGGGACAAAGCCAAGTGCTTTGCTGTTGAGGACTGCTTGTCTGATATGCTAACTGAGGCAGCAGGGTGGGAACAGGGCTCTAGCTTCACACTCAGCTCCAGCAAGGACCTTTGTGGTGAAACCATGTCTGTGCTTGACTATGCTGGCTTAACTTGAACAAGCAAAGCCTCTCAAAGGTGGAGGCCACTGCTGTCGGAGGGGCTGAGGAGGGTATTTCAAAGCTCCCTGTGGGGCATGCTAGGTTTCGGGGGTGGCTGCAAGGGAGGACACCCCTGGCTTCTCTGGGAAGGGCAGACAAAAGGTTCTTGCTGCCCTTTAAGGTTTTATTTCAGTTTCTGGTTAACTTCCTGCCGTAACTTCTGTGCAGGGCCATTCCTGGGCTCAATTTGTAGGAGGCTACTGATGTCTGCAAGGCTGGATTTATAGTCCTAATGGGGAAGAAGAAAAGTGTGGGGAAGGGACCTGGATGAGGTGAAATTCAAATGGATGGGGACAGCTGCTGAGGCAACAGTGTCTTAAAACCCAGCCTCTAACTGCCCTGAGCGACTCTGGGCCTTGGAGGAGAAGAAACTTGGCAGGAACCCGCTTACCTCACCTGTACCCTTAATGAATAATGGCATAAACCCCTGCAGCTATGTTGGTACCTTGGGCAGGCCCTGTTACCTTGAGTGACTTGTAGGCTTGAGCCCGTCTGTACAGTGCTTTCACGTTCTTGCCGTCCAGCTTGAGGGCTTCTGTGCAGTCCTTCACTGCCTCCTTGTCCTGATTCAGGACCAGATGACAGAGTGCTCTGAAGGGAAAGACCATCGCAGAGGTTTAGTCACTTCTGTGGGTCCCTGCAAGCCAGGAGGTAGGTGAGGAGTGACCTCTGGATCGTTGAACCTACTCTGTGCTGACTGTAGCTTCTTCAATCCTACTCCCTTTTTACAGATAAAAAAAACCAAAAAGCTTTTACAGCTGGCTCAGAGGGGGTGAAGAGCGTTGCCCAAGGTGCCACAGCTACTAAGGGCCAGACCCAGTTCAAACCAAGTGAATCTGAACAACTCCAGACTCCATCTGGTTCTGTTACTGTGTCTGCTCCACTCTCCTCAATCAGGAAAAAGTCAAGTCATCCTGAAACCTTCCCCTTTACAGATTAAAAATATTTACCGTTTGAGAAAACACATAAATACTAATCAATAATAAGCTGACATGTAAGTGGTGAATATAATGAGATGGTGAATACAAAATGGCTAATAAAGCAAATATAACAAAATACTTTAGGATATGGATGGTAGGTATATGGGTGTTCAGTATTTTTCCCTGACAAACTCTAGAATCATCATGAATTAAAAAAGCAGGAACAACCAAACAGGAAAAACTTGGGCTGAGGATACAGCTTAGTAGTAGGATAATTGACTAGCATGTACAAGGCTCTGGGTCTACCCCTAGCATTGCAAAAAAACAAAAACCTAAACCCTACCCTACCCCCCGAAAAAGGAAAAAATCTAGTATTTTGGTGATTTCATAGAATATGTAAAATTAAAGAAAAACCTTCCTGTAGCAATTTAAAGACAGGTGTAAGCCAGGTATGGTGGTGCATGCTAGTAATCCCAGTGGCTTAGGAGGCTGAGGCATGCAGATCTCAAGTTCAAAGCCAGTCTCAGCAGCTTAGCAAGGTCCTAAGCAACTTTGCAAAACCCTGTCTCAAAATAAAAAATGGGCTGAGGATGTGGCTCAGTGGTGCCCCTGGGTTCAATTCCTGGTACCAAATAAAATAAAAAATAAATAAATATAGGTACTAATTTACTGGCACTCTTCTTATTGAGAGGAGGCTGTGTTTGTGACTCTGTTCTGTCCCCTTGAATTCAGGCAGGTTCTGTGACTGCGCTGACCAAGAGGAGGGAAGAGAAAGGGATATGATGCAACTTTCAAGGCCAGGTCATAAAGGCCTTGTTGGTTCTGCCTTGGGTCTCTGAGAACACGTACTCATGAAGACTTGAGCTGCCATGTCAGCAGCTAACTACTCTGAGGCCACCAAGCTATGAGTAGGCCAAGCCAGCGAATAGGGAAAAGCCGCCATGAGAGACGAAAAGGTGCCAGCTTGCTCTAGGAATCCTTTTTTTTAGCCACTGAGCCATCTCCTACCTCTTTTGATTTTGAGACACAGTCTCACTATGTTGGAATAGAACCCAGAGCCTTATACATGCTAGTCAGTGTTGCTAGGCCCTGCTAAGTTGCTGAGGCTCAGCCTCCCAAGTTGCTGGGACTACAGGCATGGACTACCATGCCCAGCACTTGCTGTAGCAATTCTGTCCCCTAGCCACATGTCATTCCAGTGGGTGGCACACATGTAATGACTCTAAGCCCCAACTACCATCTTGCTGACCCTGAATGAAAGACCCCAAATGAGAACCAAGTGAATCAGAATTCCCCATACTACTAAAGAAATGGGCTGTTATAAATTATTAAGTTTTAGAATAGTAGTCCCGGATTTAAACTTTGAACACAGAGCAATTCTAGGGAAACTAAGGTTTTCTCCCAATGGGCTCTGGCAATTTAAAGAATTAACCAAGTTTTGGGAAAGTAGAAGAATCAAAGCATATAAACATTATGTACTGTATAGTGACTTCAGAATATAAATATTAAGATGAATGTAATTATATATGACATCTAAAAATTATATTTAAGATGATAAAAGTGACTTTGGCCTATAAAACAAAGACCTTTAATTTTTGGAAAGTGGAATGATTTTGTATCCAGTTAAAAGGGGTTAAATTACAAAGGAGTCTGGAATATAACATGAGTGAGTAAAAAGGAACATAAGTTTGGGATCACAAAGATCTGGCTTGCGGCTGGCGGTGTGGCTAGCATATGCACAAAGTCCTGGGTTCTATTCCCAACACTGCAAAAAAAAAAAAAAAAAAACAAAAACAAACCAAAAACAAGACCTGTGCTGCCACGTATAAGCTATTTACCTGTATACTCATTAATTCATCTTTCTTAGCCAATCTGGGTAAAATGAGACTATGACATAAACCAAACTACTGTTTTGAATACTAAATAATTCTCATAGGGAAGGGTCATTCCATATAGCAAGTTATAGATGCTGGGTACCAAGTGACGGTGTGCATTCAAGTCTTATTAGCACAAAGAGTAAGCGGAGGACTAGGCACTGTTCCACACAGATGCATATGCATGAGTGGGCCATTACAACTGCATCCAGGATGTGCTAAGCTTTCAGTCACAATGGATGAAAATTCAGTTTTGTAATTAGTCCTCTAAATTAAGTTTATAAATTCAATGCAGTCACAACCAAAAACTGTTCAACAAAACAGTTTTTGGAATTTGTCAACATGATCCTAATGCTTAGCTGGAACAACAGGTGTAGAACAGCCAGGGATACCTCAATTAAGAATAATGGGGAAGGGGCTGGGGCTGAAGCTCAGTGAAAGATTGCTTGCCTGGCATGTGTGAGGCACTACATATAAATAAACAAAATAAAGGCATGCTATCCATCTGCAACTACCAAAAAAAAAAAAAAAAAAAATGATGGGGCAAAGATCAGCTTTACAAGACATTGAAAAGCAAGAGCAATTAAAACAATGTGGCACAGATACATTTGCCTAGAGAACGGTATTTAAGCCAGACTTAGAGGTGCATGCCTATAATCCCAGTAACTTGGGAGGCTGAACTAGGAAGGAAGATCACAAGTTCAAGGCTGAGGCAATTTAGCAAGGTGAGACCCAGTCTCAAAAAATTAAAAAAGAGGTGGGGATGTCGTTCAGTGGTGTCCAATTACCAATAACAAACAAACAAAAAACAGTAAGCAAAACAAAGTACTATCCCAGATATTTCCACAAATGTGAAGTGAATGGGCTACAGGCTTCCTTTTTAAGTTAGCCTGGCAAATTGAGGCACCCCTGGTCCAGAGAGTAAAATCACAGGGTTCAAAATCCCACAGTCCAAGCTTTGTCTTTTCAACTCTTTTGGCAACAAAACCACAAGACCTGGAACTGATATGAGACTACTTAGTTTCTGCCATCCTATGTGAATATGGAATTTTCATATTTCACTGAAGAAAAACTAATAATTTCAGTAAGCTGCCCCATTCCCTCCTGGGTTTTACATAATTCAGTATATGGACTGTATTACCTTACTAAAATCTAAAACACATTTTATTCCAAGAGTTTTGAATAAGGAATAGTAAACCTGCATCAGATTAAAGATAAGTGAACACAAGAGTGATAAGTACATGTTGGTAGGAAAGGAGAAACAGATTTGTAACATTTTATAATCAATATTTGGATGAGATAAAGTCCTTGATGACTGTCAAGTTTCTGACAGAATATTAACAGATCTCACTGGAGCCAGACTCCAATTCTGGCATCACTGTTTATGGGCCGCCTGAGCTAAGGAAAGCCCTTCCTTCTGAGCTTTGGTTTTCTCAACTCCAAAACAGGAAGACCTCCTATCACCTGTATCTGTACCTCCAAGCACTACTGTAAAGCAGTGAGTCTCATATAATAAAGGTATGATATTCTGGCTCCAAGGCCTTCACTGCTAGTGGTCACTGATAGCAGCTCCTCCCAAAGAACCTTCCACCCACAAAATCTAATATCTCTGGCTGGACTGTGACCCTCCTATTCCCAGGCCAGGCAATCACTATTCTACTCCCTGGGCTCTGGACCAGTTCTCTGACAGAAACTGCCAATATTTTTGGGTCTTGGAGAAGTCATGGGGTAAGGGAACAAGAGGAGGGTGGTGGAGAGGCAAAGACTCATTTTGAAGTTGTTTTCAGTAAGCACATGGCTTTTACTTTACTGTATGCTTACTTGGGGTAATTAATGAAAATTTTGGGGAGTGGATCTAACAAAGCCCAGGCTACTCTTTGGTATCCCTTAGTTTCTACCCCTATGAGAGGGCAAATGCCACTGGCAATGCCTAGCTCACAGTGCCTGTAACTGGTATGAACATGTTTTGAGTTGTAACATATGACTAAATGCTAGGGACTGAAGAACCTACCACAGTTGGAGAGAAGACTATGGAACAAATCATTCAATGTTCTGAAATCCCCCAGGCCAGCAGCTGTGTAGAAGATACCTGTTGCTGTACGTGGTAGATTCCAGGTTACTAAACAAGAGGCTTTCATTGTACTTCTCAATAGCTTTCTTATGGTTGCCCTTCTTTACAAGCTCATTGCCTTCTTCCTTCAGAACTCTGGCTCTCTCCACATCCCCAGCAGAAGGCACTAGATACAAATTCAGAAGAGGAAAAAACCATAGAGCAGGTGCCAAATGAGATCAATGAGATCTCTTCAGTATCATCTCTTCAAAGTTGTCTATAATCCTCTCTCCCCCAGAGACTGCCTACACCATTGCAGATCCTCCTTCCTGATTAATGGTTTCTGAGAATTTAACACTTTTCATTCAGAAAAGGTTGGAGCCTCCTGTTATAAACATATTAATACACACACATGATAAAAAAACAACCCAGGTTCTAGTCTTGGCACTGTCACTTGGTACTTGGAATCCATCTTGTGTGACCACTGAACTTTTGGACTTCAATTTCCTCACCAACACATGTAGAAGCATAAGTATTAATAAACAAGCATCTAGTGAAGAAAGCCTATAAAGTTTAAGGCCAGCCTCAACAACTTAGCAAGAATCTGTCTTAAAAATTTCAAAAAAGGGCTAGTGATGTAGTTCAGTGTTAGAGTGCCCCTAGCTTCAATCCCCAGTACTGCAAAAAGGCTGTAGTTTCTGGATTTTCAGAAAAATGGTGAAGACCAGGCACTTCCTGTTTTGGTCTGACCTGCACTTCCTGTTTTGATCTAACCTGTGAGTATTCTCCCTCACCTTACACGTTCATCTCTGCTCCAACCTTGTTATCTGGTAACAAAGTTAAAACTCAAAGCTGCTCATGCTGGTGTGGTCAAGCCCTTTACTGCTTGGCTCTAGTTAATTGTTCTGGCATCTGTTCTACATCACTTGCTTCTTTAATCTTTAAAAACTGCCTTTAAAAAACAATATTTATGGGCTGGAGTTGTAGCTCAGTGGTAAAGTGCTTGCCTTGTATGAGTGAGGTGCGGGGTTCAATCCTCAGCACCATATAAAAATAAATAAATAAAGGTATTGTGCCCATCTACAATATTTGTAACAAGGGCAAGATTATAGGAACAAATAAATTCTGGAACTCATGCCCCTGCTTAAGAAACAGAACACACTAGGATCTTTAAGGTCCTGTAGGCCCTTCCCCAACTCAACCCACTCCTGGAGGAAACTATTATCCCCATTCTGTGCTTTCTCTGGTTTTGTTTTTAAAGTGTAGTTTACCTATATACAATAAACCATTTGTTGTTTACTTTGACTCTGAACTTCATAAATCTATGTATATGATTTGGTTTTCTTTTTCCCCTCTCAGCATTATATTCCTAAGATAATTTGTGTTGATTCATGAAGGTGTAGTTCATTCACTTTCATGGCTGTAATATCACGCAGATCTGTCCATTCTCTTAACTGTAGAGATGTGAGATGTTTCCAGTTTTGTTTTTACTATTACATTCATTCTGCTATGATCATTTCTGTCCTTGTTACGTGTGCACGAGTTCCTCTAGAAGTAAACCAGTGGGCTGCAATACACGCACAGCTCCAGGTATTCCTGGGCTCTGCAACACACCCCTTACTTCAATCATAACTCATTCCTACTGTTCACTTTGTGCACTTTTACTTTCCAACTCTTTCCACTGTCTCTGCCAAGAATTCTGCTCCCTTCTAACCTCACCTCATTTTTCCAGGTCCAGCTGAAACGATCGCCCCCATCACCATCTCTTCTGTGAGCCTTTCCCAGATTCCAGCAAGCACTCGTAAGCCAGCTCTTAAAACAAACTTTCTGAACACTAAAGACTTGTATTTTAAAATGTTCTGCTTAAGTGTCTCAGGTCCTCAACAGACCAAGAACTTCCTGAGAGCCACGGCTGCCTCTGTCTTCTGTATCACACTGCTTAACACAAAATAAATCATAGGTGCTCTGAATTCATCTAGTTATTAGCACCCTACATTTTTACTCCAGAGAAGAGTGGGGGAACACTTACCAGGCTCCTACAAACCAGAATGAATGCTACCCATGGCCTGGAAAAAGAAATAATTTCTGCCCTCCCATAATAACTAAAGGTCACATGACAGGGCTTTAGCCTTGCTCCTTTCTGCACCTAGCTTGCTGGGCTAATTCCTTTGGTTTCCTGTAAGAGCTTTCCTGTGGAAAGTCTCCTGTTTGTGGCTACCTAGATTTCTGTTTTTTTACTCATTCTTCTCCAAGATTCATACAGTGTATCCTCCTCTAGTTATGGAAGTAGCATAGATAGCTTGGGGCTGAACTAGTCACAAAAATCTCATTCTCTGGCCTATGATCAATTAGAACAGGGGGTGGTGGGGAGAGAGAGACAAACACACACAGACAGACACGGACAGACAATGCCTGACCAAGAGATTTTGGGGAAAATGTTCTTTTACTAGTGAATTATGGACACAAGGGACTTTCTTTCTTCCTCTAGGTCATGAGGCATGGTGCATAGCTGAAAGCTAGGAACTGGTACAGCTACTTTATCACTAGGAGGGGAGCCTGTCTGAAGTCAAAGCTGAAAAACAACATAGAAGAGAGCAAAGAGAAGTACTGAGAATTGAAGTCAAAGAGTCTGGTAATGGCCTTGCATGGTGCCTGTAATCCAATGACTTGGGAGGCTGAGGCAGAAGGTCTGCAAGTTTAAGTCCAGCCTCAGATACTCAGTAAGAACCTGTCTCAAAATTAAAAATAAGAAGGGCTGTGGATGTAGCTAGTGGTAAAGCACCCCTGGGTTTAATCTCTAGTACTGGGTGTGGAGGAAGTAGTGAATTGCTGTGGCAAACCTCTCCTGAGCTTTTCAGCTATATGAGCCAATAAATTCATTTCACTGTTTTAATAGTCTTGTAATCAAAAACATCCTCAGTGACACATCTCAATGCTGCCAGAGGACTGGGAGCCAATACTATATGCCCATGTACCAGGCTGGAGCCTGGCCCGCCCCACAGTTTCATCCTTAAAGCTATGAGGTAGCTGCATTGCCACCTCACAGCACAACTCAGGAGATGATATTTAAGAAGTCAAGACTTTTTCATTTTGTTTTGTTTTAAACTTTGTTTACAAGATTATTTTTTATAACCCAGCTAAACAAGGCCAATTTTTATACAACTACTCTAAAGAAAGGGTCTAAGACTCTCTGGACAGGAGATGGTCACAGCTTACCTCTGCTCTTTGTAGTTTCTTTGGATTTGTTTTTGGTTGACTCTTTGTTTTCTGAAGGCAAGGAATTCCACCTCTTCTGGGCTGAGACAGGCACCACAGGGATAGAGGGTAGCTTCAGGCGCCACTCAGGCCCAAGTGAATCCATGAGAGCTCTGGTCATTCTGGAAGGGAAGGCAGGATTGCAGAGAGGTTTTCAGCCAGTTCAAGAAGATAGTCCTCCTTTTGCACACCCAAGGGAAGTAGGCCCTTTCAGAAAAGCCAGTTATGATCCTCTCCTGGTCTGAACCATTTGTTTACATCCTCTGACACACCACCGAAGAGGACAGGAGTCTGCCATCTACAGACACCTTATCAGATCAGCCACCGTGACACTCCTTCCCTTGCGCTTGGCCGCACTATGTTAACTTTAAAGCGGTGATCTGTTGCTTGTTGAGGATACTTAAGCTCTGTCCCCAAAACATTATACACTCCCCAAGGAAAGATTCTGTTTTATGTTTTCTCAAAGAATCTAGTACAAAGGCATGCAAGCACCTGATAATGCTCAGAGATTTCTCTAAAATGCATTTTTTTTTTTTTAATGGTGCTGGGGATTGAACCCAGGGATTTATGCATGTGAGGCAAGCACTCTACCAACTGAGCTATATCCCCAGCCCTAAAATGCAAATCTTAAGTCATTCTCCAACCTTAAAACTTCTCAGGGTTCCCATTTCCCTAAGTTAACATGCATCCCCTTTTCCACTTTTATTATGCACCATATTCCCTCCTAATCCTTATGTTTATTTTTTCTTTACCTGGAACAATTTCTCCCATTTTCCATTCCCACCTTCTAGGTCCAGCTAAGTCCTACTTATTAGGCTCTCAGCTTAACATGCTACTCTATGACCATGTCCATTTTGTTAACTGATCTCCAGGACCTAGCACATCACCTGGCACCCACTAAGGTCTAATAAGTATGTGATGAATAGTCATATACTTGTGCTCTTACAGCCATGTTCCTGGGTTACAAGGATAAAAATCACACAGACTGATCTTACTACAAATTAATGATCTCCAACGAGGTCACAAAGCTGTTTTCCTGATTAACTTAGCTATATCAAATCTCTTAAGCTGTTTTCTAACCTTTCTCTTTTTTCAAAGCAAACTTTCTCATACCCCAAATATAAACCTACCTGCCAGGGACTCAAACCTTCCTCTCTCTCCTGTCACAATAGCGGAGACAACAGTGACTATCCCTCCAGATGGGATGGACCCCATCTCCTGCCTCTCAAGCAGCATCTCCCTTGCCTTTATCTGCATTCTTTCTCTCTACTGATTCTAACTGTCTGCATTTAGGTCCCTTTAAGTCTTTGTTCACTAAATAAAATCCTCCTATCCATCTACCATCCCAGCTATACCCCCCCTGCTTTCTTTCACGTCAGATTTTCTGCACTCTCTGCCATCTGGCTTCTGACCCCACTGAATGGCATCCACCAGCATCACTAGTGACTATACCTTTAGCTGACTTAAGCTTCTTGGAATACCGGACATTAATGACATCTCCATCCCTTCTTAAAATACTCCTTCACTGTGGCAACTAAATGCCCCACAGTTTCTTCCACTTCTCTTCGCAAGTCCCCAAATGGTGGAGTTTTTCAAAGTTCCATCTTCTTCCCACTACATACTGGCTGTGGTGTTATTTTTTTTTTCCTCCCACATCTTCAACCTCTGTGTTGATCACCCTCAAATTTCTATGTCTTGCCTACTTTTCTCTTTTACTCCAAACCAACGTAAACAGCCTTCCTTACATCACAGTTACCTCCACGGCAACAGGCCAACAACCTAGATGTTCTCTGCTGTTTTTCCCTTCTCACCACCCCCACTTGCTAAGACTATTAAGATCCTAAGTGTCCTCTGTTGTGCCACTCTTCTCTCTACTATCTCTCCCTTCTCCTGGACTGCTGCATGCTCCCTTCCTACTTTGTTCCTTCATGTCATCACTCAACAATAAGCTTTTCTACAAAACACAAATCTGTTCATGTTGCTTCATGGCTAAAAACCTTCTTAAGATGCCTCACTCACTCAGGATTAAGTCCCAGCCCCATGCACCAGGCCCTGTGTGACCTGGCCTCACTAATTCATCCCAAGATGAATTTCCCATCTACCGCACCATGTGGAATGGACGTTTTACAATTCCTGTAAAATGTTGGGCTCACTCACCCTTGTACATGCTGCCCTTCTGCCTTGCTGACCCTCTACTCCAGATCTCTTCTGTCAGTCTTTGCTCACCTCCCCTGAAAAGCCTTCTCTGGCCTCCTTTCTCCTAGTTGGTGAGAGGCCTCCTTTCTGTCCTAAGAACCCTCTGTGCTGCCTCCTACTGTGTGACTTAGCACAATGTACTGAGGGTGCCTATTACTGATGTCTTCTTGAGACCAGCAGCCCTAGGAGGATAGGAAAAGTTAAGTCTTGGTCAGCAGCCCAGGTTCTAGTGTGAGGTCTGATATTTTGTTGAGTGATAGAAATTAAAAGGAGGCAAACAGAAAACACAGGATGCTGACAAAAGTCAAGCAAGAAATAAAACACTTAACATGTACTAGGAGGTCAAGGGTTTGCTATTTTTTTGGTTTTCTAGCAGCCCTCATAGGAGAAACATAATCAGTTATACAAATGAGGGTATTTATGAGATAAAAACCAAACATGGCTCAGGAGACCAGGAAGACATTTCACCTGAGGAGCTTCATGGAGGGGTCATAATATAATACTGTAAACTACATCCACAAACAAAATCCCTACAGGCTGAGTCCTGGTTGCATATGCTTGTGCATTACTTTCCCAGTTAGAGTTAGCACTCTGAGGACAAATGGGATCCAAATCTCTTTTTTTACTTCCCCTCATGGAATCTGGCACAATACCTTAAAGAGTTCAATAACCGTTACTGTGTGAATGAACTTGCACATCCAGACAAAAATCAGTCAATCTCAATGATTCTGACTCCTTAAATACCTGCTAAAACAACAGCAGATTGTCTTTCTACATTTCATTTAACCCACATGCTCCTTAGGAAATTTCTAAGTATAGACAGACCTTGCCCAGAAGACAACTGAAGCAATGGCCAAAAGCCAATCAAGGAGGACAGGAAATTCCCATGGAGAAATCCTACAATGAATGTGAATCACCTGTTGATGCCTTCCAGGGCTGACGCCACATTGTTATCAATTTGCAGTACAGTCTTGTAGTCGACATAGGCCAGAGGATACTTCTCTAGGGCCTCATAGGCAGATGCTCGCCGCAGCAGAGGCTTCATGCTGAAGGGAACCAAGGCCAGTGCTCTAGAACAGGAGGCAAAAATATCATCTGCCTGATGTACTACCAGGGCTCTCGAATAGATCTTTCAGTCAGGGTCATCTGCAGCACTCAGTATACTGAAGGTAATTCTAGGGCAAGAGACACTGCAAAGAATGCTTAACCGTAAATAAAGACTTTTAAAGCTGGATTGAAGTAAGGAGGGGAAGAGGGCAAAAATCAATACTGTGAAATTTGTGTGCATGTATGTCAATTTTCATAGCTTCAATTCCCCCCAAAATTAAGAACTAAAGATTTGCAGCTTTCATGCTAACATGTTTCTAGACTGTGGCCTAGTGGTAATACCAAAAGGCTCTGCAGTCAGCTGGGATGGTATTTGGATTCCACCTCTGCCACTATGTAATCCTAGGCAAATCACTATTTCTCCAACTCTCTGCAACTCAGTTCTGGACTGAGAAGGATGATAAACACCAGAGTGATCTGAGCACTCAAGGAGGAAAACCTACCACAGACCCTAGGAGCATGCTCATGTCTCTGCTCCTGTCTACCATCCCTGCACAAATCTAAGGCAATGTCACAGGATATCAGATCTGAGAACACATTTAGCTATGTGCTATTGTAGCTATGATGAAATAAAGCAATATTAGACTGGCCTGGAGAGGAAGAGGTACGAAAAATCGTTCAATATCTTTTACAACTGTTCACTGATAAAGAGCCATTTCCTTCTCTCTCCTTGGTTCTTTATAAACAATCTGTTAACCTGTATTCTATCTTTCTTTCTTTTCTTCCCTCTCACCTACACCCATCCCAGAAAATCACCTGGACAAGCAAGTCATAGGTCTGCAACCTTACCTCTCCCCAGATATCAAGTCTCATAAAGGCTGCAAAGCCTATGTCCAGCTGCCCACCCTACTTCTTTTTGAGCAGAAGAGCTGACTCCAAAGACACAAGTCAGGTGCCACAAGGATGGAGCCTCTCATTCTCAGTGGCCGGGTGTCACTTAGTGACACTTCCAAATAACTTGTCACAGATGTGACTGGTGGAATCCTTTTGAAGAAGAAAATAAGCCAGATACACCCGATCTCCTCTTCCAAAACCCTCAGGCATCCCAATGTTACCCTGGGCCACTTACGAAGTGCAGTCTTTGATGCAGTCTGTGCAGTTTCCATCCTTTAAGTGGCATGCTGCTCGGTTGGAGTACAGAACACTCTCTTCTTCAGGGTCTGAAGAACCTACCCAGGTGGAGGCAGGAACAGAAAGAATATCATCAGAAATGGATGTCTCTGGACACTGGGACTCATTTCATACCTGGGCTCTCTAGGCTTTGGGAAAGGCAGCAGAGATGACTATAACCTGATCAGCCTTGTCTGCCAGATGGAACAGCATGTCTGACATAACAGTGGGGACACAGAGCTTTATGCCATACACAGGGAACCAACTAGCTCCTCCTTCATTCATTCTAGTACTGAACTTGATACTAGGTGAAAGATAAATATGAAACAGCTGGTTCCTGCTTCAAAAAATAATTTTAAAAAAGCTGTAACTACGTGAGGATGTGTATCTTATTATAGAAAGCATGTGAACCCAATAGAAGGGGGGAAAAAAGGAAAATAACAATATGAGAAATGCCTGATAAGTAGATTAACCAAAGAAGTGTAAGGAATATATCACCAGTGAAACTTCACATTATGTACAACCACAAGAATGGGATCTAATTAGAATAAGTTATACTCTATGTATGTATAATATGTCAAAATACACTCTACTGTCATATATATCCAGAAAGAAAATTAAAAAAAAAAAAAAAAAGTTGTAGGGACATGAAAGCAGTTTTACCTGGTCAAGTCAGAGAGGACTTTGCCTGGTACGTGAAAACTAAGTTGGGAATGCCAGGACTTCAGAGAACTCAATCAGGAGGACTCAAGTTACCCATCAGGGAGAGCATTACTAGTCATTTCTCTAATGGCAGTCCTACCCATAAGCACACAGAAGATCATGTCCCTTCCCATGGCTACAATGATTTCCACATTTAAATATAATTTTCAACCCCTTCATACCCACTAGCGTGGGCCATAATTAAACAAACAGACAACAACAAAAACCCAGAAAACAAGCTGGGCATGGTGGTACACGCCTGTAATCCCAGCAGCTTGGGAGGCTGAGGCAGGAGGATCTCTAGTTCAAAGCCAGCCTCAGCAAAAGTGAGGTGCTAAGCAACTCAGTGAGACCCTGTCTCTAAATAAAATACAAAAAACAGGGCTGGGGATGTGGCTCAATGGTCGAGTTCAATCCCTGGTCCCCCTCATCCCCTCCAAAAATCCAAGAAAAACAGTGAAAATAATGGTTGCCTCAGTAACTCCACTTCTAGATATATATCCAGAAGGAGAGAAAACAGACTCCTTTAAAAATTTTGAAACATTCAGAAAATAATTTAAAATACTCATATCCACTGCTTTATTTAGCAAAATTATGGTTCCAACCTTTTTATTTTTGAGATGGCTAATGCTCTACCCATCCTCATCCTCATCCCTGTGCTCCCTCCCCCAGAGGCTGGCACGATTCTGAAGCTGGTATCTAAATTTTCAAGTATTACTTACTTTTATTATGTTTTCATAGTTAAGATACAATATTGTTTCGTGTCCACTGAAGCATTCCCTAAGTGGTATTTTATAGCCTATCCTCCTGAAACTTATTTCTTTCACTAAGAATCACGATACTATGTTAGTACCTGAATTTTTCACTCAATACCAACAATAACAAACATAATTAATAGCCAATTTTTTTTCTTCTTTACTTTCGCAGGCCTGAGACAGACAGTACCGGAATGTTATGGTTTAGATATGTGATGTCCCCTAAAAGCTCATGGGTGAGACAATGCAAGGTGGTTTAAGGGTGAAATGAGTGGGTAATGAGAATCCTAACCCAATCAGTGCATTAATCCCCTGGTAGGGATTAACTGGATGGTAACTGTAGGTAGATAGGGTGTAGCAGGAGGAGGTAGGTCCCTGGGGGCATGCCTTTGGGGTCTGTATTTTGTCCATGGGGAATAGAACTCTCTCTGCTTCCTGGTAATATATTCCCAGTTGCCTTTCTCTGCCTCACACTTCTGCCATGATGTTCTAGCTCATCCCAGGCTCTGAGGAATGGAGTTGGCCATCTATGGACTGAAACCTCTGGAATCATGAGCCCCCACATAAACTTTCCTACCTAAAATTATTCTTGTCAGATTTGTTAGTTACAACAGCAAAAAAGTTGACTAAAACAAAGGATAAGTAAAATACCTCCTGTACTTAAGGAGCAAGTACAAACACTTAAAACCTGTAATCCATCTCAAGTTACTCAGAAATAGCTTGGTGTGCTGGAAAGTGCATGAGAACCTAAAATCCAGGACTGGGAGGAGTGATAGAGAGCTTACCTAGCATGTGTGGCCCCAGCCTCTCCCCCCACTTCTCCCCCACACATACAGCTGAGAAGAAACCACAATCCAGCTGTGACCCTGTGCAAGTCATTCAACCCCTCAGATCTTGTGTGCTCACCTACCACATAAAGATATCACTTTACAGATTTGCTGCAAGGGTTCATTGTGTTAGGGTGCTCCCTGAGCTTCTTTCAGAATCAAGAAAACATCAGAAAAATGAAGGCAATTATCCACAAATTACCTAGAAAATTAGTAGCAGGATCAGAACCAAACTTTGGTACCCGCTAAGTCTAAACTCCAGGCTAGCTAGGGTGTTATAGTGGTGGGGGGGGAGGCAGAAATATCAATATCTCAGATTCCTTAGCAACTTCCTCAAGTGAGGCTGACATGAGGAAATGGGCCTAAAGAGAAGGCTTCCAGAAAAAAAAAAAAAGGGGTTAAATAAGTTGAAATTGTTGAAAGTTTCAACAAAATGTGGAATTTTGGAAGAAGTCTAGCTAAATGACTAAACATTTGGACTTAGCAATCAGACAGATTCATATTCAAATCCTGGCTCTGACATGTCCTCAGTGTGTAACCCTAGGGTAGGCAATTTAATTTTTCTGGATTCTTCATCTATGGGTGTCTTATCCATAGGGTCATAAAAAAGATAAATAAGATAATGTTTATTATGTTTAGCACACAGTAAAGAATTCAATAAATGCTGGCTGAGAAAACGAGAAAAAGACAGGCAAAAGGAAATAGGTACTAAAAAGTGATTTACAGAGAATCCATCCAGGGCTGTCCTCAAAAATCAAAGCTTTAACAAATGGGGACTCCTGAATAAGATACTCTGGAGAAGCTACTTTGTGCAAAGGTCTGTTGCTATGAACTGGAGGCCGAGAGAAGGGAATATGCTACTCCTCTGTTTAAAACTCTCCAATAGTTTTCCAGCAGGGAATAAAACCCAAACTCCTAAGGATTAAAACAGCTTTACAACAAGGTTCTACCTACCTCCTGTCTTTCTTATTCCCTCCAGAGGCTCACTATACTTTAACTCTGAACACACCTTGCTTATTTTCTCTCCGGGCCTTTCTAATAGCCGTTTTCCTCCCCCTGGAATGTTCGGCACCCTAAACTTTGTGTACTGGGCTTCTTATTCAGATATCTCCTCAAGTATCTCTTCTTCAGAGTTGTCCTTGACAACTAAAGGAGTGCTTCAGTCAACTCTATCCATCATTTCCTCATGTCTTCTTTATGTTCCTGGGCAGCTCTAAAATCACCAGGGAGGAAAGAGGCTGGGCCATAAAGCTTACTGCTTCAGAAACATTGGAGTCAATCAGTTGGGAAAATAGTTTGTATTCAAAGCCCGCTCCGAAGGAAGACAGAGCAAACTGAACTGAAAATCCTGAAGGTGGGCAGAATTTTTAAAGGAGAAAAGACAGGGAAGTGACAAAAGACAAGAACTGTACGTTTGTAGATTTAGTTAGTCTCCCCTAGACATCATCTTTAATGCCTTTCAGCTTTGATGGGAGTCCGCAGCCTCCACTCTCATCAGGTGAAGGCTATTCCCAATTTCCAATGGAGGAGGCAGATTCTCTTTCATTCATAGCCCTCATCTCAGATGTCTCGTTTATTTCTTTAGTAGCTTAAGACCCCCTACCTCAATAACCGTCTTTAATATAACAAATGCTCAACAAATATTCACTGAAAAATCAACAGCTGAGGGGTAAGCGGATTCAGTTATATCCTCAGGGATCAGAATGAGGCCGGAAAACTTAAGATGAGAACCAAGAAGGCAGTTCAAGAGCAGGTGGAAAGGAAGGGCCAAGAAAGTTTCTCGTCGAATGCCAAAGTCGGGAAGGGACCGGGAACTAACGGGAGGGCCCGGGGGGTCGGGGGGCCGGTCCGCCGCGGAGAGAGCCAGCCCCAGAAACACTGAATACAGTGAGGCCGGGTGCTGGTGGGGACTGGAGAAAGCGGGCCCGGAGGAGGAGCGGGGGGGGGGGGGGGGGGTTCATACCTCGCACCTGCAGCAACCGCAGCGCGCGGCAGTAGAGCGCGGAGGCCTCGGCGTACTGGCCGTTGCGGAAGCTCTGGTTGCCGGCGGCGCGGAGCCCCTCCACAGAGTCTGGGAGTTTGGGGGCCATCCCGGAGCCGGGCGGGCACACAAGGGCCGCCTCGGTTTCCCCCTGAGTGATGTGAAACGGCGTCCGGGCGGAAGCACCGCCTGCGACTATTTAGGTCCGGTAGCAAACCCGGCCACGAGGGGGCGCGGCCTTCGCCAACCCGAGACCCGTAGCGCCCCGCCCTCTGCGCGTGCTCAGTTTGGAACCTCTGTCTGCTTCCGAGGTGGCTGGAGATTCCCCAACTGGCAGCTGGGGAATTGGGCGCTCTGGATGAGGCCAATAAGGAGGATGTCTGCTCTCAGGGCACTTACGTTCTGGAGTGGCGTGACAAACAATTAAATCATGAGCAAGTAAAGACGCTAATTTCATAATGCGATTAGTGCTCTTTAGGATAATGCCATACAAAGTGACCACGTGGGCGCTATTTTAGATGCGGGGCAAGGGAAGGCATCTCTAGGCGAGTAATAATTAGGTTGAGACCTGAGAAGGGAATGCTGTTCCAAAGGGGGAGCAAGTGCAATAGCCCTAAGGCTAGAAAGAACCTCACACCTCATACACTGTGGATACTGATTTAGTAAATAAATGCACAGATTGAGGGGTGAAGACTTGGAACTGAAAGTGCCTAAGTTTATACTTCAAGCCTCATCTGATGTCCCTCTCTGTCCTACTTGATTTTTGTTAAAAAAAAAAAAAAAAAAAAATTCTCTTTGCTACCGGCAACACTAAGTTCTTTCGCTTACTCCTAGCCTTTCCTTGTTATCCCCTTCTGGAATTCCTTTCCAAACACTTCTACCTAATCCTGAAACAATTTAGAATTTCCAGCTCAAACATCATCTTCCATTCCTGCCCCTGCCCCATGTCACTCCTCAGCCATTGGTCCTTAGGTTTATCCTTATTTTATCATTTATCAGTCCCTGAGTGCCAGTATAGTTTTCCTCAAACACTGAGGTCTTTGAAGGCAGGAATAGGTCCTCTTCATTTTTGTCTAAGATTTAATAGGATCTGGCACCTAGCATGAATGTCTCTTGGCAAAATTCACATATTTAAATCCTTTCTAACCCCTAGGGTGGTGGTATTAGGAGGTATTAGGCCCTTTGGAAAGTAATTAGATTGTGGAGGCATAGCCATCATGAATAGAATCAGTGTCTTAGAGGCCTCCGAGCCACTTCTACCATATGAGGACACAGCAAAAAAGGAGTCATCTATGAACCCAGAAAGAGGTCCCTAACCAGACACTGCATCAACTGGTGCTTTGAACTTGGGTTTCTAGCTTCCAGAAATGTGAGAAATAAATTTATCATTTATAAGCTTCTCATTTATGGTATTTTGTTAACAGTAGCCCAAACAGAGCAAGACAACCTGAGTTGAGAATTATTCAGAATTTTAAATTGACAAATTATGATGATATTTACACTTTCATCCCCCAAATTGTTTTCAGCCTTTTAATTGTTTTGTTTTTTGGTATTGGGGATTGGACCAGAGGCGCTCTACCACAGAGCTACATCCCATCTCCAGTCATTTTAAAAAATATTTTTATTTTTTAAAATTTTTTTAGTTGTAGATGAACACAATACCTTTATTTATTTATTTTTTATTGTGGTGCTGGGGATCGAACCCAGTTGTCTCATGTGTGATAGAGAAGTGCTCTACCACTGAGCCACAACCCCAGCCTCAAAGCATTTTTATTTTGGAGAGTCTCACTAAGGGTCTCACTAAGTTGTTGAGGCTGGCTTTGAATTTGTGATCCTCCTATCTCTGCCTCCTGAGTAGCTGGAATTACAGATGTGCACTACCACACTGGGCAGCCTCATGGTTTTGAATCAACATATGAAAGTATTGGCTGAGCCTGGATTGTGCAAATAAAGACATATCCTAATTCTAACACATTTTTACTTGCCAATATTCTCTCAATCAAGGAAGACCTTGATTGTTTAAAGGAACTACCAGTTAATAGTGGGAAAAAGTGTTTAAATGAAACAAATTCTACAAATAATTGTCCAATAACACCTGTATACATTAGCCCACTAAGACTACAGTTACATACCTATTCCTTCCCTAGTAGAGCTGCATACATAATGTGGCCTTGATGAAATGGTTAACTCTGAGTTGAAAATCTGTCAGCTGCCACTGTAATCCCAGCGACTTGGGAGGCCAAGGCAGGAAGGTCACAAGTTTGACCTGGGCAATTTAGGGAGATTTTGTCTCAAACTGAAAAGGATTCGAGATGTAATTTAGTGGTAGAGCACCCCCCCACACACTTCAATCCTCAGTATGGGAGGGGAAGTCACCTGCTAAAAAGTCACAACCCAAAGATATGTCAGCTGATAAATAAAAAAGACATGCAAAAATGTATGCAATGGAATAAACCTACTGTGCTTGGCTGAGGTTTGCTATTTAGATTTAAATAAAATTTAAAATTCGTTTTTTCATTCACATTAATCAGGTAAGACTAGTGGCTACCATTTTGGACAGCACATACACAGAACATTTTCATTACTGCAGAAATATTTACTGGGCACTACTGGGCTGAATCTGTGGAAAGAGGCCATCACGTCAGTCCATTACAGAAAAATCCTAGGAAGAGGACAAAGGAGGGATGTTTTTGTGTATCAGCTGAAACTAGAGTTCAACTAGTGAAGAAGTAGAAGACCACAAATACCTCCAAGGATACTTGGAGCAGCGACTCTCCAAAATGTGTAGAACTTGGCCTGTTAGGAACCTACAGTTTTGCTGGGTGTGGCGGCCCAGCCTGTAATCCCAGCTACTCGGAAGGCTGAGGCAGGAGGGTCACAAGTAGGAGACAGCCTGCGCAATTTTGCGAGACCCTCTCTCAGAAGAACTGAGGATGTAGCTCAACAGTAGAGGGAGGACCCCTGGGTCCAGTACCGTTACCCCCGCTCAAAAAAAAAAAAAAAATCAACAGTCCTTATGGAGTCTGTGCTTCGCTAGAAACCGCAGTATCTGCTTCTGAAATGGGGAAACTCTGAAGCAGAGATGGGTTCCCAGCCCGGGGAATCCACAGAGACTTCGGCGAAGCGTGACGCACCCACACTGCTGCCTCCACACACCCGGGCCCACTGAGCACTCCGCCGCTAGGAGTCTCCGCGGCTCACCCGGGCCAGCACCCCGTGACGCACTCCCGCACCACGTGATCCAGAAGCAATTCCCCGCGGCTCCGCCCAGCCCGCGAGCCTCACGCCGCTTCCGGTAGAGGCAGAAAGCGGAAGTGTGGGAGGGTCTGCGGGGCGGGCTCGGGGGGGTCCGGGGGAGGATGGAGCAGTGAGCGGGGCTGGGCCGCTGCCGGCAGCGCCATGGAGACCGTGCAGCTGAGGAACCCGCCGCGCCGGTGAGGGGCCACTGGATGAGAGGACGGGCTTGGGGCGAGAGAGGGAAAGGCGGGAACTGGCTGAGGGGAGACACCTGTGAGGGAGCCCCGGGAGAGGGGAGGACCTGCGGCCGGGCGACTTGGCTGATGGGGCACCTGCCGAGGGAGGGGGACGTCTGGCGGGTGAAGGTCCCACAAAGCTGCTGAGCTCGTTAAACGCGGGGCTGGTTTGAGGAGGCGCTCGCGTTGGGGGTCCTGTCCCGAGGAACGTGGCGGCAAGTTGGGCAGACACCTGCCGAGGCCCGGGGCCCCGGGGCAAGGCTCTCGCCCAGGGAGCGCCGAGGCTGGGGGATGCGGAGGCTGGCTGAGAGCCGGCGAGGGGCGTGTAAGTGACGCGGGGGGAAAGCGATGGACGTTTTAAGGGTCCTCAGTGCCACCTGAGGGGGGCGTGCAGTCGGGGGAAGGCGTTGCGCGGAAGAGCAGTGCCGCGGAAGCCGAAATTGCGCGAAAACAAGGTCGAGGTTCCAGCCGCGGAGAAGTTGATGGAGGATAGCATTTAGGAGGGTGTTCTTGGTGGTGTGCCCACTGAGGGATGCTGGTGGCATCCTTTACTGATGCCAGGAGTGCCTTCCTACTTTCCTCCACACCCTTCTCAGCCCCTCAAAACCCAACTTTGGGAGGTAGATAAGGAAATAAGATCTTTTCAGGCTGGGCAAGCTGGGGTCCCCTGAGTTAAGACACATGGACCCGGCGACCATTAGTTCCAGATCCCAGTGGTACCCGGAATAGTTTTGGGTTAAGATCAGGGAGGTGGTTGATCTTGGAAAGTCTGAACTCCGGGGTTGGTTGTAGTTGTATCGTGGATTCCTGCTGTAGACTCCCTGGTCTTCTTGCCACCCGGCCACATCTGGAGAAAAGGAGGGAGCACACACTGAGGTGCAGTGTCATTAAGTTCTGTTTCACGGAGAAGACTTCTGACTTCCTGCAGCAGAAAGAGCACCAAAGTAGGAAGTGTTGAGTGTGTGGGAGTGCCAGCCAGCAGAGGTGCAGGGAAGGGATGGACAGCCTGGGCAGCACTCTTGGGGGGTTGTTTGAAATGCACAAACATTGCAGAAGGCAAATAGCTTATTGGGACGGGCTCATGATTCACCAAGCATAGTGTGTCAAGACTGTAATCATAATCATTACACCCATAGACACTTACAGGGTGCCAGGCGCTGTTCTTCAGTGTCTCCTTGTTGAACCGTGTGAAACTTCGATTTGACCCTTGTGAATCGTAAAAATGGTGGTTTCATAAGGTTCAATTTATTAACTCACTGGATTCTCACAACAGCCGAAATAGGTGGATATCCCTATGTCTGTATTTTACAGATGGTGGAACTGGGGCACAGAGAGGCTTGTGATTTGCTGGAATAGAAAGAGGCAGAGTTAAGATTTTAATGTCCAGGTGGTCTGGTCCAAAGTCCCGGTTCTTAACTGTCTCACTGTTTTGCCTTTCTGGAAATACCTGGTTTCACAGTTATTGTGTATGTTAGAGTATATTTGATATAGCATAGCATCATAATGATCCAATTACACTGTTTTTTTTTTTTTTCCCCTTGAAATACATTTACTCTTTCTCCTTGATTTCTTTCTCCAAGGCCTTCATTTAATTGAAAAGAAGATTAGGAATCCGAGTGTTGTTTCTCTCTCTTTGCCTCATGTTGTGTAATATTGGGCAAAGAGTAAACCTTTTTGTTTTTTGACATGCTCATTCATTATTCACCCCACCAACCATTACTGGGGATTGAACACAGAGATAAACACTTGCTAGGCAAGTGCTCTACCACTGAGCTATGATCCCAGCCCTTTTTATTTTTTTATTTTGAGACAGGGTATTGCTAAGTTGCTCACACTGGCCTCAAACTTGGAATCCTTCTGCCTCAGTCTCCAGAGTAGCTGGGATTATAGCATTCACCACCATACCCAATTCATTCCTAGATCTTTTGAATGAAAAAAAAAAAAAAGTGTAGTAAAAGTGCAGGAGAAGAGCTTTGCAGGAATGAATTAATGACTGGTGTTCTCTTGCTCGTTATAACTAGTAGACTGCTTAATTTGTGCAGGTGAATTTTATCATCATTTATATTAGTTTGTTAGGAATGTCATAACAAAGTATCATATCTGGGTGATTTAAACAATAGAAATTTATTTTCTCATAGTTCTAGAGGCTGCAAGTCAAAAATAAGGTGTGATGGCAGAATTATTTTGTAGTCTCTCTTTGGTTTATAGATGACTGATTTCACAAAGTCTTTCCTTTGTACCTGTGTTCTCTTCTCAGAAGGACACCAATCATATTGGATTAGGGTCCACCCATATGAACTCATTTTGCCTTAATTACTTCTTTAAAGGTCCTACGCCCAAAATACAGTAACATTTTGAGGTACTGGGAATTAGGACTTCAACATATGTATTGGGGTAAGGGAAAACACATTTATATATGTCATTCTCATTAAAAAATTTTTATTTATCTTATATTTGTGGTAGCCTATATTGAATTCTGTTCAGAAAGAGAGATAAGTATACCTAAATAAAATGAAGCTTTCAGGAGTTCTGAGATGGAAGAAAGAGGTTTGAGAAATAGCCAGACTTCTGAGTAAACATTTCATAAAAATCATTTTTTTGCTTGGAAAGATAACAGATGTTGGCATGCATTTCCCATAGTCCCAATGCAGGAAATGCTCTTTGTGTTCATGAGTTTGACATTTGTGTCTGACCAAGTGAATGATGATAGATTGGTGTCTTACATGAGACTCAGTGATTATAAAAAGTGCTGCCACTTAGTGGAAGACATAGAGTGCATTCCTGGGATGCCAGCCATCCTTGTAACTGTCTGACTTTGGAGAAGAGCATCCTCCAGTATTTGGTTCATGGATTTTGTATTGATCAGGCTTGTTGGTTATGAGCAAGTCCTGAAACTGTTTATGACCTAGCTGAGAGAGCTGCATCTGCAGTATCAGGCTGTTTTGGTAGTAGTACCCCATGCCATGAAGACTCATTGTGTAAAATATCACTGTGAGTCACTTATCAAAAGATTTTCCATAGAAATTTTATTTGTCGATGATCTAGTGATTTTTTTTTTTTTTTTTTCGGTATTGGGGATTGAACTCAGGGGCACTCAACCTCTGAGCTACATTCCCAGTCTATTTTTGTATTTTATTTAGAGACAGGATATCGACTGAGTTGCTTAGGATCTTGCCAAGTTGCTGAGGCTGGCTTTGAACTTGTGATCCTCCTGCCTAGGCCTCCTGAGCTACTGGGATTACAGGGCACACCCAGTGATAATCTAGTAATACTTTTTAGGTGAAATTCTGTTTTATTTTGATAACTCACAAAGATGGCTGATGAAAGTATGATTCCCATCTTTACATTTGTTGATCCATTTAACAGACATTTTTGACCATCTTTTGGTTACTGGGTAACAGAGATATAAAGCTCCTTTAAGATCATGTTGTTTTAAATAATCCCAGATCAAAAACAAAAACCCACTTAGATTGTTTTAAACAAGTATCTGAGCAGTCATATAAAGTTTGTCTGCCAAAGTATTATCAGAGCCTTGCAATTGTCTCTCATGCCAGTGACAGTTTCCTTTGTTATTTTGTGGTCTGTGTAGCATAGTTGAAATAGTGAGTTTTGTTTTTTGTAAACCACAAGAGTCAACACTTCAGAGAAACACATTTGATCTTTCTTTATATAAACTGTTTATAAAACTTTATACTTGATGAATAAAGTATTGTCCACTAGTTTTTTTTCAATGCTGGATATTGAACCCAGGGCTTTATATTCCAAGGCAAACCCTCTGCTCAGCTCTTGTTATTTTATTTTGAGTCAGAGTCTTACTTGGTTGCTCAGGCTGGCTTTGGATTTGCAATCCTGCCTCAGCCCTCAAAGTAGTTGGGATTACAGGAATGCACCAGCATGCCTAGCCCCTATCCACTTTTATGTAGTTGTAATTTACCAAAAACCCTGGCATATGATATTTTCATTCTAATTTCTAAATTCATAGAAATTTCAGTTCTGATGTAAGTTTAAGAGGAGTTTCACTTCAGTCTTTTGTTTTGAAGCTGGGAGTTTTTATGATGTCATTGGAATTTAATTTGGGGATCTTTTGATTCCCGATCCCCCTAAAAGGTCAGTGTGTTAATTGTGTTTTATTGATCTTCGGGTTAAGACAAGCTAAGGAAATGACTTTAAGTAGTTAGTTCTCCATTTCTCTATTACATAGAGTTCTTGATATATAGAGTGTCTATTATATATAGTCCTTGATACGTATAAAATTCTGTGCAATTGCTCTCTTGAGGTCAGTGTTTATTGGTAGATATATTTGATGTGGTCAAATTTGTTTTTTAATCTTCTGATTTTCCCTATGAAAGTATATATTTGTGAGTGTGTGTGTGTGTGTGTGTGTGTGTATTTTTAAATTCAGGTCTTTTCTTGTAAGAATTGGTATTGTGTAGCCAGCTAGTTTAAACCTTTTTCTTTATAAGAAATCTCCAGTGTAACTACTTCCATATTTTACCATTTCCTTAGCTCTCTTTTCTTTGTTGTCCTTTGTAATTTCAGGAAGCCATTGTGTAGACATTGTGCTAACACACACACACACACACACACACACACAGATATTCCTTAGGAAGCTCTTTCTTTAAGCCTCTTAATAATTTTTGGAGATCATAGTTTTAAAAATATATTGAATTGTGTGCTGGGGTTGTGGCTCTGTGGTAGAGTGCTTGCCTAGCACATGTGAGGCACTGGGTTCAATCCTTAGTACCACATAAAAAATAAAGTTTTTTTTTTTTTTTTTTTAAAGCTAACTTCCTTTAAAAAATATATTGACTTGTTAACTTTTATCTATGTTATGATTGTCTAGTATAGTTGGTGAAATTTGAACTGTCTGGAGATGGTGAGCAGCTATGTATCTTTGATTTTGAGGACTAGTCTAAGTACATAGCTATATGTGGGAGGGTCTTTGTGATGCTGAAACTCCCAACTGCCAAGATCTTTTTCACTTTTACTCAAGTCTAAATGTATACTTTTCATTTTCTGTTTCTGTGATACCTATAAACTTATGTGTTTTGACAAAATAACCAAAACCTTGCTAATAAAATGCTCAGATCTCCTGTTTCCTTGGCTACTAGTCCAATTCATATTTCAGTACATAATTAACCTTATATTAAACATCTTTTCTGAGGAGATGACTATGTCACTTTATGGACTTTCAAGATTTAAATGGATTCTAAGGATTTAGTTTTTGCTTGAATCCACTGTAGCATTTTAGCCACATGGCAGTTCATTTTCTATTTAAATTTTCCAACAGTGGGGACCTAGGGTCTTAAGGCAGTCAACACCATTGTAAGACAACTTTTATTGTTAGAAGATTCTTCTATATATTGAATTGAAGTCTGAATCGTGGTAACTCCTCACCTTCTGGTCCTGATTTTGCTTATTACGTGACCTATAACTAGTTTATTTCTCCCACAGAATAGTCCTTCAGTGTCCCTTAAAAGTTTCTTAGCTTGCCTTTGTTGTTATTTATTACTAAGGACATTCCTAGGATACTAATTGTGAAATAAGTGGTTCATTTTATGGTTTAGTTGTTAGGAAGTAAAATGCATCTCATGTTTTATATTATTTTCTTTTCACAGGCAGCTGAAAAAGTTGGATGAGGATAGTTTAACCAAACAACCAGAGGAAGTATTTGATGTCCTAGAGAAACTTGGAGAAGGGTGAGTGTGGAGAAAATATAGGTAAAGCAGTGGGTCACAGTATTTTTCCTGCCCTAGCACCTGAAGGATGTGAACCTTTCTCATGAAAATAATTCTTAAATCCAAGGAAAAGAAAAAAATGTTGACTATCATCATGAGTCTAGGTGGGGCGGGTAGTACGTTTACCCTCGGAACACCCTTCTTCACGTTACTAATCACCATTATAAAAAGATTTAATAATTCCCAGTCTTTAGTATCAAGGATATCTATTTTTTTTTTCTTCCAGAATCTGGGGTTTGTATTATTTTTACCTAGTTAACAGCACTAATTAGATTAAAATTTATTACAAGTTTTAGAAACCTGACATATATGTTTATTTGCTGCTAGTGGTTTCTGATTGATATGCAAAAATGTGGTTTCAGTAAAACCAACAAAATTCAGTGTTTTAGTTATTACAGATTTTGGGAATATAGTAAATAACTCAAAGATGGTCATTACCTTACACCTTCCTAGGGAATTCATAATCCTAGTTTGGGAACCAATGGACTTTTTGGAATACAGACTTGTGAACGAGTTTATAAAATATTGCTGAAATTATATTTAGTAATAGACAGTGGCTATTATTGATGTTTATGATACAGAAAGGGTTACATTACACTTTTAAAAATGCTTTCACATACCCTTTTAATTTAATCCTGATTATTTATATCTTCCACAATGACAAAGACATTAAAATATTAGGAGCACCTTTTCTTAATGTTTGTTAACTTTTGAATAGATAGTAAATTCATATGATTCAAAATTCAAGAAGTATAAAAAGGTATACAATAAAAAAACTTCCCTCTATTGCTCTCAGCCACCCAGAAGCACCCATTATAGCAATTTCTTATGTATTTTTAAAGATAACTTATGCACATGTGTGGGAGAATTTTTTTCCTTTTTATTTGTGCATTATAATTATACATAACAGTGGGATTTGTTATAATATATTCATATATGCACACAATAAGACAGTATTATTTGATCAGTTTCATTCCCCAGTACCACCCTTTCCCTCCACTTTCTCCCCCTGATCCCCTTCTATTATACTGGTCTCCCTTCTATTTTTTTTTTTTTTCTATTTGTTCTAATTAGTTATACATGACAGTAGAATGAATTTTGACACATTGTGCACAAATGGAGCACAACTTCTCATTTCTTTGGCTATACGTGGTGCAGAGTCATACTAGTAGTGTAATCATACATATGTAGGGTAATAATGTCTGTCTCATTCTACCATTTGTCCCAGACTTGAGGTTTTGTCTTCTAGGTGGTCTAGTCTGTTGGTGATACTTTCCATTGAAATTTTAATTTGGTTTATTGTTTCCTTCATTTCAAGGATTTTTGCTTGATTCCTTTTTATAATCTCTGCCTGTTTATTGAAGCAATCTTTTACTTCCTGTATTTTCTTTCTTGTACCATCCTTTATTTTGAAGATCATCCTAACTATGTGTCTTCTACTCTGTTGTCTATGAATTATATTGTTGGAACATCTTGGTTTGTTTGAGGTGCCTTGTTCCCTTGTTTTTTCATGCTGTTTGTGTGTCTTCCCATCTCATACGGTTCTGAGGCAGTACAGTTTCTACTCTGTAAGTCTTATAGTGTCCCTGAAGGCTTCCAGACCTCACCTTTAAGGAGGAAGACCAATATTAACAGTATCCAGTACAAACAATATACACCTTTAAACCAAATAGCTCCTATAAAGGCATCTACAGTTTTGTCATAATAAACAGAAGTGATGTGTTCAATTATTGTGATGTGTTCAAATATTGATGTGTTCAATATGAACAATAAATTTGCTAAAAGGGTTTACTGTTTCTAGTGATGGACAATGAAGGAACAGAAGTAATGTAAGATGTGATGTTTATGAGGGAGAAGAAGAGAAGATAGAGGTAAAAATTTATAGTAAGAGCGAGGAAGGAATTAATAGAGTTTGGCTGTTAGTATGAGAGAAGTGAGAAAGAGAATCCACAGAGACAGGATAGGTGAGAAAAAAAATATACAGATTTTTTAAAAAGTAAAAATATAAGGATACACAACAAAAACGTAATGTACTATTCAGACATCTCATTGTTCAATAAATTGATGTATGAAAAATATTTGGATTCAAAGATGGTAGAGATGTGAGAGAGAGGGGGAAAACAAACAAACAAACAAACAAACAAAAGCAAAGTCTTGATGGAAAATTGAATGATAGTTTTCATTGGCTTTCAAAAATTTTCTCAGCTTTCCTTCTCTGCTGATAGGTGGGGTTGTCTAAAGTTTGATGGTAGCTCCAGTCCGGTTTGTGTCGGACCATTTGGGTGGGTGAGCCGACAGATAGATGCTGTCAAGCCTTCTTCCAGTCTTCCCACCATTGTAGCCAGTCCCTTCCATCCCCATGTGCACTTCAGGACTCACTGATCTGGAGAGAGCCCAGTTTTCTCCAACCTGTGCTACCCCTGGGGAACTTCTTCTATTCTCTGGCATTCCATAGGCTTGCTAGACCCAGACTGGCCCACACAAACCCAGTGCAATGTGAGGGACCTGGGCTTTAGATTCCATAGGCTCTGCCTTGCTGCAGTCCCAGGATCTCAGTGCTGTCTTAACTGGCAGAGAGACCACCAGGATTGCACTTACACAAGGGAGTAGCCTTGCAAAGAGGCAGCCAGATGGTGACTGCTAGCACACCCAGGAGAAAGACTTTAGGTGCACCAGACAAATAAGACTTGTACGTGGTTAGATTGGCCTTAGATACTGTATTACTTCCATTTGATTTTGCCTTGTGTGACTTGTGTGAAACTCCTACTTCACCATCTTTGTTTTCTGCCAGTTAAACATTCATTAAGTCATTAGTTTGGTTAATGTGAGGAATCAGATCTTATAAGGAGCTTGCCTTTAAGTGAGCATGATTTCTGAAGTCTTCTAACTTTTCTTTCTCTATTTTTCTTGGTACTGGGGATTGAACCCTGGGGTGCTTAACCACTGAGCCACATCCCTGGCCTTTTTTATTTGTTATTTTGAGACAGGGTCTTGCTAAGTTGGTTAGGGCCTGGCTAAATTGCTGAGGCTGGCTTTGAACTCCTGATCTTCCTGCCTCAGCCTCCAAAGTGGCTGGGATTACAGGGCTCGGCTCTTACATTTCTTCAGATTATTGTAAATGCAATATGTGGAATCATGAATGTTAATTGTTCATATGAGCTATTGGAATTTTGTTTGCCATCAGTATAGGAGGCTAGGCCCAGGTACTTGGGGGCTAAGGTAGAAGGATCCCAAGATTGAGGCCCATGCTACTTAACAAGTCCATGTCTCAAAATAAAATTAAAAAAGGGCTGGGGAGTAGCTCAGAGATAGAACACTCCTGAATTCAATCTCCAGTACTGAGGGAAGAAAGAAAAAAGATAGCACAAAGGGGTGGTCTGGAGATTGTTCTGGTCATAATTGCTAAGTGAGTGCATGCAGAGATCTCTCCATTTCTAATACTTTTAAAATATTGAAATTAATTCTCTTAAATATTTAATTCTTTATTATAAAATCATTTAAATAAATATATCTTTTATAATCAATATACATAGGACCAGGGATAGAAAAGAATCTGCACTGACTTTTCTGCTTCCTGGTTGCCATATCCTGAGCTGTTCTCAGCCATGCTCTTCCACCTTGATGTTCTGCCTTGCCTTTGGCTCAGAGCTTTGAAGTCAGCTGACCAGGAACTGAATCTCCGAAACTATGAATCCCAGATTTTTTTGGTACTAGGAGCACTTAACCACTGAGCTACCTCCTACCCTTTTTATTTTTTATTTTGAGACAGTGTCTTGCCAAGTTGCTTAGGGCCTCACTAAGTTGCTGAGGCTGGCCTTAACCTGAGATCCTCCTACCTCAGCCTCCTGAATCCAAGTGTGTGCCACCACACCCGGCTCCAAATAAACTTTTTTCCTCTTAAAAAAAAAAAAAAGAAATGAAGGGGCTGGGGTTGTAGCTCAGTGGTTGAGTGCTTGCCTCGCATGTGTGAGGCACTGGGTTCGATCCTTAGCACCACATTAAATAAATAAATAAATAAAACAGATATTGTGTCCATCTACAACTAAAAACAATTTAAAAAAAGAAATGAAAAGAAGAATTCTGCATCCAGCCAAATTACTATTTCTGAATAAAGCTCAAATATATTTTCAGATATATTGGATCTAGTGTATCAAGAATACCTATGGATGGGACTAACAGAATATTTAGTTAATAGTGGGTAACCTATAAAGACATTTAATAACTAAACAATAAATTTAGGGGTAAGAGATTCCTGAAATGATTAATTGACCCAATAATGGTTTGGTGTTTGGACAATTATAATCTGAATGTGGTTGTGTTTGTTTCAAGCATCATCCTTACATGACAATAGCTAAAGCAAGAAGGGAAGGGGCAGGTGGAAATGGGCCTTCTTGTGTGCTTCTTACCTGGAAAGAAAACCTTTACCAGATACCCTCAGCAGAATTCTAGTCAAATGTCATTGGCTAGAAGTCGGTCATATGCTTGCTTCTGGTTCAGTGACTGACATAATGGAAAAGGAATATTGTGACTGGCTTGGCTAGTGTGATTTATCCTTTGGGACCAAGAACGTTGCCATCCTAACAAATCAAGGTTTGTTTTAGCAAGGAGGAAGAGGCAGAGGTTGGGTCTTCTACACAGGTCAACAGTGACCTTTCTGTAGTGAAAGGGTACTTGATGCCTTGTTTAAGCATCATCATATTAGTTTAAAAAATATATGTGTGTGTGTGTGTATTTATATGTATATACCCACACATATATTTAGTTGTAGATGGACACAGTACCTTTATTTCATTTATTTATCTTTATGTGGTGCTGAGGATCGAACCCAGTGCCTCACACATGTGAGATGAGCGCTCTACCACTGAGCCACAACCCCAGCCCCCTCATATTTTTTGTAAATACAAGAATTCTGATAGAATTTTTTTATGTGCTCAGCATAGATTTTTTTCAAAAATTTATGTTACTTTGACATTGAAATTATTCTTGAGCATCTTTTTGGCAGCTTGAATGTTCTGCTAGATTGACATATTAGGTAGCACTGTTGTTTTGATTTTTTTTTCCTTTTTTTTTTTTTTTTTTTAACCCAACCAAGATGTTATGTGTGTTTGGGAAAGATGAAGGACAGTTTACTCATTTTTTCACTGAGACCCTCCCTGGATTCCAGTGAAAAATCTATGTAAGATGATGATGGTATCTCATTGACCATCATAACTAGCTTCTAAGGTAGTTTATATTATTATAATTTTACACATGAGAAAATTGAAGCACAACAAAACTAATAATGTGTTTATAAGTAATAGCTAATCTATAGTGCTGATTTAGATTCTAAGTCTAATCTTAAAGCTTCCAAATTGAATTAATATGTAAGCTATTTTAATAATAAGCTCTTAAGGAAAGATGGAATAAAGGTGAAAAATTTAGTGTGTGCAGTATTCATTTGATACTAATATTAACTTATATAATATTTTAAGCGCTATTGCAAGTAAGGGAAATAAGGACAGAGAACTTATGGTACCCATAGTGAATGTAAGGAAACAAATACTTTGATATTGTATTCCAATGTAGGTGTGGAGAGAAAACTAACATGGTATTCAGACACCTCGGTTCAAATCCTGAACCAATCACTTATTTATTACTTGTGTAACCTTGGACAAATTATGTGATCTCTCTAAACCTGTTCACCTTTACTTGTAATGTAGGAATAATCACCTCTTACTCATTTTTTTAAAAATAAGGATACACTGAAATATGCACAGTTTCTAGGAAACACCAGGCATACAGTTCATGGAGGCTATTATTATTTCATAATTCATAAATTTAGACGGGAAATTTTTAAGGAGTCATTTTTTTCCCCAAAGTACTTTAGCTATGTCAATTTTGCAAACGTAGTTAAGTATGTATGTATTAGACACTTAGATAAATAGAATTGTAAGTTGGTTGTATTGTGCCACTTCTTATCTCTTGGCTTGCCTTTGATTTTGTGAATATTTTCCTTCCCCCAATTATAGGTCCTATGGCAGTGTATACAAAGCTATCCACAAAGAGACTGGTCAGATTGTTGCTATTAAACAAGTTCCTGTGGAGTCAGACCTGCAGGAGATTATCAAAGAAATTTCTATAATGCAGCAATGTGACAGGTAAAGATACATGGAGCTCCTTTGGAGAGAGTATGGTTTGGAATTTGCTGTGATTATATTTAGAATATGACACCTAAAGATTCCTTTACTTAGATATTTTTGTAGAAGGGAGAGGTCAGTAAGGTCATGTGCATGTTCTTTTTTAGAAAGAAATATGATGAAAAAGCTTTGTTTTCCTTGCTAAATTATTTTTTCTGTTTTTGCATTTTTTTTTTTTTCCTCCTTCAGTGAGCCCTGAAACCAGGAAGAAGAGGCAGAAGGTGGTGCTGGCTTTTTCTGGTTTTGTTTTGATAATGATCTCTTTTTACTTCCTATGAGAGAGTGTTTCTACAGAGACAGCTAAGACAAGATAATTCAGATGATTTTTAGCTCTAGAAACCTTCGACTATTAGATTTGCCTATAAAAAAAGAATACTTATTTATGTATTACTATTCCTTACTTCACATTTAGAAATTTTTTTCAAGCTGAGAGTAGTTAAGTATTTTAATTTTGAGGAACTAAGATTTGCCAAATGTTGTAAGCAGGAAGTCAGGCTAAAAGGCAACCGCAGAAAAGCACGTGGTTTGCACTGAAATTCCGTGACAACATGGTTTCGTTGCTGTGATGGAGCAGGCTTCCCCAGCACTGTTTAGATTAGAGAGAAACATAAAGTTAAGGGCAGTCCTAGCTCCAGGGAGTTGGAAATAGGGATCGAGAATGTTTTGAACTTGAGGTTACATTGGTTCTTTATGGTCAGATCAGCTTGGTATCTCCTATTTTTTAAAAATTTTCTTATTTTAAAAAAGGCTGCAATTTTATAACTTATTTAAAAAAATTTTTTATTTTATTATTAGTTGTAGATGGACACAATACCTTTATTTATTTATTTATTTTTATGTGGTGCTGAGGATTGAACCCAGTGCTTCATACATGTGAGGCAGGCATTTACCACTGAGCCACATCCCCAGCCCAGTACCTCCTATTTTTTAAAGCTTCAACCTTAGACTTTGAAATTTCTCTTTTTTCTTCCCCCCTTTCTTTTTTTCCTGTTTTTGTTGTTACCATCTACTCAATAAACCTCCATATTTCTTGATTGGATTGGCCAGATTCAGTTAGCTGTTTTTCTTTTACTCCTTTATGAGATCCATTATGGGAACTCTTTCCATTTGGCAAATTGAGACTTTGTCCAAATAGGATATGGAAATGTTCCTAATTAATGAGATGTTTTGAATATCCTACTCTGTAAGCACTGTAAGGAATACAGAGACTGAGCACAATCCTGGGGAGTTTATAGACTGATTGGACAGGTCAGCATATATGTGTGCAGGGAAATCTATTCAACAGTACAAAACTGTATAGAACATATTGCAATAGAAGGTACCTCATAGAGGCAGTAAATGCTACAGGAGTTGAAGGAAGGGGAGAGTACAAGTGGGGATCTGAACTTTAGAGATCTGGTCACCCATTTTTTCTTAATATTCTTTTTTTTTGTGTGTGTGTGTGTTTTCCCTCCTGTCCTTGTTGGCATATTTCCCAAGGATGAAGGAGCATGTGAAATTCTAAGAGTTAATGAAGCCAAGTTAGTTTTGTCATCTTTGGGTTTTCTTCAACTTTATTTGGCCCTAATAACAATCTAGTCAATTAGAGGTAGCTATCAGAAGGCAGATTAACATTGTACTTAACATTGTTAAGAATTGATATGTGTATCCATGTGTCTTTTTGGAGCTTTATTGTACTTACTCTTTTGTAGCCTTTATTTATTTATTTTTAGAAAATAGGGCATCTTCTTATGTTATCAAATATTCCTCTAGAACATTCTTCACGAATTCATGATGTTCATTGTATAGATATATCATTATTTATTAAATTTATTAAATAAATTCTCTAATGTTGAATGGACTTTTTAAATTTTTTATTATTTATTTGCTTTAATTAGTTATACATGACAGTGGAATGTGTTTATGCATTTTGACATATTATACATAAAAGGGGTGTAATTTCTCATTTTTCTGATTGTACATGTTGTAGAATCACATTAGTCATGCAGTCATATATGTACATTTAAATGGTACCTAAATTTTCACTTTTATTAACAGTTCTGTGTTGGTAACTATTTCTTTTTGAATGTATATTTCTTTTCTGAGGATAAATTGTAAACCTAGAAATGCTTGTTAAAGTACCCACCATTTTTTGTACTTCTGTTATTTATTACCTTTTGGAAAACCTAGCCCATCTTATGTTCTTAATCAGGAGAGTGCTTATTTTAGCCATAACTAGAAATAATTGATCTTTTTGAGATGGAAATTAGTTTTCATATGTTTAACAGAATTAATTAAACATTTGAAGGCCATTCACTAATATGTGTTGTGTCTCTCTGTAGTCCTCATGTAGTCAAATATTATGGCAGTTATTTTAAGAACACAGACTTGTGGATTGTCATGGAGTACTGTGGTGCTGGTTCTGTATCTGATATCATTCGATTACGAAATAAAACGGTAAGTTCTTTCTAGAGGAATGATGCTGAGCTGGTCTTCTAGTGGCATCTTTTCTCTTGCCTTTTGTTCACATGCTGCTTTTACTACCATATCTAGAAAGCTGACTGTCACATTTTACCTTTTCTGTGGTTCTTTACTCTTCTTGACTCTTATCATATCCTACAAGTAGCAATATTGACACCAACTCGATCTAGTGATTTTTAACATGCTTTATTTTTTACTGTGGGAAATATGACTCTCAAATCCTGGTTATGGAATGAATTTTGAATGTTTTACTTTGAATTTGGATTTCTCTTTACCCAACATGTTCTTAGATTAATTTCTACTTAATATTAATCAGAGAATAATCTCATTATGGAAAATTATTTGCCATATGTGATTGCTAGAATAAGACCTAAGATTTATGGGTTATAATTCTGTTTCAGTTGCTTAAACTCTGTTTTTTCATTCAGTTAGTATTTCTAAAACTCTGCTTTAGGCCTTAATAAACATACAACCCTACTCTCATGGTAGTGCACTTTCTAGTAGGGCACCAAAAGCAAATTACTTGGAAATTAGAAACAAAATACAAGATATTGATAAATGCTATGAAGAAAATGAATCGGGATGAAGTGGTACAGTGATAAGAGTTAAGAGTGCCTGGTGGGCCACTACAGTGCAGTTGGTGGTTGAGAAAGGTCCTTCCAAAGAGGTAACATGTAAAGTAAGACAAGAAGGAGCAGCTGAAGTGCAAGTGGAGAATAGCCAGTGCAAAGACGCTGAAGCTGGGATGAGTTTATCATGTTTGTGTGTTAGAAGGAAATAGGCAAAAGAGAAACTGTAGGAGATGATTTGCATTTTAAAAAGATAATTTGGTTTCTGTATAGATTGTGAGTGGTTAGGAGTAGGAGGAGCAGGGGAATTTTAGCCTTTTGGGTTTGTTTGGTTTTTGGTCTTGATAGAAAAATTGAAATAATGATAATTATTAAAAGTATATAAAAGTATTTATAAATTGTGCATTACTGTACAATTTATAAGGTGGGGTCTGCTTTGAAACTTAAGTCATAAATTTTGGATTATTCTTACCACTATCTCCTTTTCTTTATTTATGCTATACAGAATTGATGGTGTTTTCTTAATAAAAAAGCAAGGTTTAAGCTAGGAATAAGCCAAGTATGGTGGCACATACCTGTAATCCCAGCAATTCGGGAGGCTGAGGCAGGAGAATGGCAAGTTTGAAGATAGCTTCAGCAACTTACACCTTGTCTCAAAAAAGAGAAAGAGCTGGGGATGTCAGTGTTAAAGTACCCCTGGGTTTGATCTCCAGTCCCACAAAAGAAGTAAATAAATAAATAAAAATAATAAAAATTTAGCTAGGCAGACTATCCTAATATAAGAGAATTTAAGGAAATTCCAAAGCTTGAGTAATTTATTGATTTAGAAAGTGGCACCCAAAGCTGCTTGTGTGCAACATGAAGTTGTTTTGTTTCAGGTATTTTAAAACAACCCAAAATTAATTTTGATGGTTCTTTATAATTTTAATTATTACCCATTGTTTTACCAAATGTTATGATTCTGCATTGTTCAGCACAATAGTCACTAGCTATGTATGGTTGTTGAGGATTTGAAATATGGCTGGTCTGAATCAAGATGTGCTATAAGTATAAAATATGCGCCAGAGTTTGAAAAATGATTACCCAAAAAAGTGGAGGGGGGATGACAACAAAAAACATTGCTTTTTAAAAAATATTTATCACATAGTAGAATGATGATATTCTGGATAAATATGGTTAAATAAAATATATTGTGAAAATTAATTTTAGTTGTTTCTTTTTTAAAATGTGGCTCTATTATAAATATAAAATTATATTGTGACTTCCATTATATTTCTTTGCACAGTGCCACTTTAATTGGCTGAGCTGGTTAGAATAAGGAATAAGTTGAGTCATGAGCTTTGTTCTCTTTGTACTGTAAATTCTAGCCTGTTACCTTGCTAATAGTGTTTGTTTGAACTTTCATGAAAACTATTATTTATCAGCATTGAGGCCTTAAATTACTTAACAAGTTAAATTGCTTGACTTTTCTGTGCCTTAACTTCATTTTTATAAAATGATGATGACAATAGTAGTACGTCTGTCTCACTTAGTTGTTTTAAGGATTTAATAAGATAAAAAAGCAGTATTTAGCATTAAACACATAGAAATGGTTGCCAGTTTTTAATACTATTAGTATAGTGCCTGGTTCACTATAGGTGCTTGTTAAATATTTATTGATTGTGTGGTAAGTATTAAACCATGATTAATCATGGTGTATAATAAACCGTTTGATTTTGTATATATGTTTGTGTGTGTGTGTGTGTGTGTGTGTGTGTGTGTGTGTGTGTGTCTGGTGCTGGGGATTGAACCAGGGCCTTGCATGATTACCCAAAAAAGTGTGGGGGGGAAACAACAAAAAACATTGCTTTTTAAAAAATATTTATCACATAGTAGAGAAGCATATAACTTGGTTTTTATGACTCTCAAAGAAAGATGATATTCCTATTTTATATATTGAGAAATTGAGATGAAGAGAAATTCAAGAACTTGCATAAGTCACCATAAGCTAAAAACTTCTGCTTATGAAGTTTATTAGCTTTTGAGTTAGATGTCATATGTGGATATATGAATATGCTCTTTGGGAAGAGATCCTGTCAGGAAATTCTGAGTTTGGGATCAGCCAGCGTGTGGATGGTATTATAAGCTGCTAATGGGTTGAATAAAATCTTAGTTTATAGTCAAGGAAAGGAATTTAAATTGAACCTTCCCTCCTCCCTTTTCTAATGTATTATGTAAATAGATAAAACTTGAATTATTATGTTCTTTTTTCAGCTAACAGAAGATGAAATAGCTACAATATTACAATCAACACTTAAGGGACTGGAATACCTTCATTTTATGAGAAAAATACACCGAGACATCAAGGCAGGAAATATTTTGCTAAATACAGAAGGACATGCAAAACTTGCAGATTTTGGAGTAGCAGGTCAGCTTACAGTAAGTAAAAATATTAATTGTATTGATACTTTCAGCTCTCTCCTGGGAAAGCAATTCCTTTTATTTTTTAAAAAATAATACTTGACTTTGCCAGGCACAGTGGTGCACGCCTATAATACCAGCTATTCAGGAGGCTGAGGGAGGTTGAATCAGGAGGATCATTAATTTTGAGGAAAATGGAAAAAGGTGGAGAGGTCCATAAAATGGGAAAACAGCAGGATCTAGGACATAGTTCAGTGGTAGAGTTCAGTGATAGAGTGCTTGGCTAGCGTGTGAGGCCTCGGGTTCAGTTCCCATACCGGAAGAAAAAGAATTAATTAATTAACAATTTGTTAATAAAAAAAATTGTAGAATCAAAAATAGATTCAGAAGAGCCAGGCTCATAAGTTATTTTAGATCCTTTCTTGGGGTTTAAAATCACATAATTTAACTTTTTTTTTTTTTTCAGAGAGAGAGAGGTAGAGAGAGAGAGAGATTTTTTTTTTTTAAAATATTTATTTTTTAGTTATTGGCGGGCACAACATCTTTGTTTGTATGTGGTGCTGAGGATCGAACCCGGGCCGTACGCATTCCAGGCGATTGTGCTACCGCTTGAGCCACATCCCCAGCCCCTAACTTTGTTTTTAACTCTTATAAAAACTAAAGAAATGATGGAATGTTAATTTAAATTTTTTTGAACTATGTCAGCACAAATTTTTTAGTTGTAGGTGAACCCAATACCTTTATTTATTTATTTTTAACGTGGTGCTGAGGATCCAACCAGCTGCCTCACATGTGCTAGGCCAGTGCTCTACCACTGAGCCACAATCCCAACCCTTACTCAGCACATTTTTAAAAGGAAGAAGAATTAAATCCAAATTATTTTTCTTAAATAAGGTATAACATTATTTTGTTCACTTTCCATGTAGTATTTGACAGTTACTATACTGAAAACACTCTTGTTTGGTTCTAGAATCATCTCTTCTTTCTCTTCCTACCTCACTAGTGTATAACAGTGAAAAAAGAAAAAAAAAATTCAAAACAGGAAGCCTAGAATTTATCTGATTTTGTGAAATACCCAAGCAGTTCTATAGAAAATAGAAATAATTCTAGATAGGCATATACTAAAATGTGTAACATTATTATATATAAGCTATATATAAGCTATATATGAGTAGTTTTCTTGGGTGATAGAATGAATATGTGTATATGTGTGTGTGTGTAGAGAAAGCATTAGTTCAGAATTTGGCATTATGTATAGTTTTGATGTTAAATCTGGAATATGTTAGGGAATCTTAGAGGTTTCGCAGCAGTACAGAATTGTTTTGATGTCTTAAAAAATCAAAGGCTATTCAATATGATGATTTGTGGATCCTCTCAAATGGTTAAAATATACAAGTAAACCATATTAATATAATAAAAACTGCAACCTTAATAAGGAAACCAAATTGAAAAATATATTCTTTGGTGCTGTATAAGGAGATAATATTAAAATTAAGGATATCCATTACATTTAATAATAATTTTAGTAATTGGTTGATTACTCAAAAATTACTTATAGCATTCTTATTGCTATAATGCCTGTCTTGACAGAATCATATACACATATACCCCTCTAATACGTACAAGTCACTATTTTTAGTATACTTTACCACATTATATAACTATTTCCACTGTCTAATTCCAGAATGTTTTTATTATCCCCCAAATAAACTCCCCTGTAGTAGTCGTTCCCGTTCTCCTCTGCCAACAGCCCTAGGAACCACTGGTCTACTTTATGTCTTATGTTTTGCCTAGTTCAGTCATTTCATTTATATATAAATACATAAATATTTCATATAAATATATAATATATGACCTTTTTTTTACTTTCTTCTTTTAACATTATATTTTAAGGTTTATCCATGTTGTAGCATGGATTAGCATGTAGCATTCATTCGTTTTGATAGCTGAATAATGTTTCGTTTTGTGGATATACCATGTTTTTTTTAATCTGTTCATTGATTGAACATTTTGTTTATTTCCACTTTTTGGCTATTGTGAATTATGCTGCTATGAAATTTGTGTGAACCTATTTTCATATGATACAAAGTTGCTGTGTCATATGGGAACTCCATGGCTAACTTTTCAAGAAATTGCCAAACTGTTTTTCAAAGTGGTTTACCATTCTACATTCCCACTGCTGTTATATGAGAGTTCTAATTTTTCCCCATCTTCAACACTTTATTTCTGTCTCTTTAATTATAATCATCCTAGTAGGTATATGTAGCATTCCATTGTGGTTGTGATTTGCATTTTACTAATGTCTAATGATACTGAATGTTTTTTCCCTTGTGCTTATTGAACATTTGTGTATCTTCTTTGGGGAAGTTTCTATCAAATCCTTTGCTGATTTTTAATTGAGTTGTCTTTTTACTGTTGAGTTGTAAGAATTCCTCTTATATTTTAGATATGAATCTCTTATTGGGCACATGATTTGCAAATATTTTCTCCCATTCCTTGGGTTTTCTTCTCGCAGTCTTGATGATATACTTTGAAATACAATTTTAAAATTTAGGTAATATCCAAGTTCTTTTTACTTTTGTTGCTTGTGTTTCTGGTATCATATCTAAGAAATTATTAGCTAATGCAAGGTCATAAAAATTTATTCCTTTGTTTTGTTTTTGGTGCTGAGGATTGAACGCAGGATACCTCTAGCCCTTGATCTTCTCTCGTTTCTTTCAGCAATGTTTTTAAATTTGTAGTGTATAAGTCTTAGACTTACTTGATTAAAGTCATTCCTAAGTGATTTATTCTTTTTGATGCTATTTTATTTATTTATTATTTTTTTTATAGTTTCTTCTTTTTTTTTTAAAGAGAGAGAGAATGAATTTTTAATATTTATATTTTTTAGTTTTTGGCAGACACAACATCTTTGTTTGTATGTGGTGCTGAGGATCAAACCCGGGTCGAACGCATGCCAGGCGAGCGTGCTACCGCTTGAGCTGCATCCCCAGCCCCTTGATGCTATTTTAAATGGAATGTTTGATTATGTTCACTGCTGGTGTATAAGAATACAACTGATTTTTGTGTATTATGTCCTGCAATCTTGCTGAACTTCACACTTCCTATTTGGTTTTAATTTATAATGAGTGTATGTGTTACATTGCTAAAGAAAAAAAAAATGATTTATTTTTGTCTTCACTAAAATAAAGTGAGACTAGTATAAGATGATCAGACTGGGCTGTTTTGTTGGGGAACTTATAGTTCTAAACTTAGGTACCTTTCTGACAGCTCTTATCTAGAGTCTGTAAGCCCTGTAGACAGCCTTCTGAGAAGTATCAATGGATATCAATAGCATTTAGCCTAATAAATGCTAAGAAAATGTTTCTAATTCACAGTTTACTCATAATCTACAATCTGGAAATCCTGTTTCTGCCTCTAAAGAATATACCATCAGCCTACCGCCAAAAGCCAGGGTGGGACTAGGGAAGCCCACAGGTTGCCTAATGTGAAAGGAAAATCTAGGCCCTAATTGCTTCTTTCAACCCAGTATTCCTGTTTTGAGGTCCACTTTCACCATTTTCCAGACTAAATGCTACCAGTTTCTAAGCCTATTGAGTAGGTTGGCATTGAAATCAGCATGTTTACTATTTTTTTTTTTTTTAGAAGATTCCATTCAATAGTCTTTTCAGATAGTTACCACTCAGCCATCTGCTTTCCAGCTTACAAAGCTCTGTGGCGGTGATTTTTTTGTTCTTGTAGATTCATTCCTTTATTTTTATTTATTTATTTAAAGATAGATGCTGCATTTGTTTCTTTATTTTATTTTGTTGTAGTTATAGATGGATAGCATGTCTTTATTTTATTTGTTTATTTTTATGTGGTGTTGAGGATCGAACCCAGCAATTCACACATGCTAGACAAGTGCTCTGCTGCTGAGCTACAGCCTGAGCCCTGGATTCATTCCTTAAAAAAAAAAAAAAAATCCTCTTGGGGCTGGAGTTGTGGCTCAGTGGTAGAGCGTGTGCCTTGCACATGTGAGGCACTGGGTTCGATCCTCAGCACCACATAAAAATAAATAAAGGTATTGTTTCCATCTACAACTAAAAAATATTTTTAAAAAATCCTCTTGATATCTTTTAAGTGAGTTTTAAGTGGGAGTGAAAATAAAATATGTTTGTGCAATCTGTCTTCGTTACCCAGAAATCTTTATTATTATTTTTGGTGATATTTATGGCTGTTTCATTCTCTGGATGTACCATGATTAATTAACTCATTCCCTACAGTTGGACACTGGATGCCCATTTAAATTGTTTATAGTTTTCCTACATCTAGTTCTGTGGTGAATATCCTTGCAACTATACTTTTCACATTTCCTTAAATATATTCTTAGGATAATTTCTTTTACAGCGAAATTGATCAGGAGATATGTGAAATTCTAAGACTTTTGATGCATATTGCCAAAATGCTCTTAGAAGGGAGTAATTTCTGCTCCCAACTGCTAATTTATAAACACCTTTTTTGTGGGGTCGGGGTATATGGATGCCAGGGATTGAACCTAGGGGTGCTTAACTGCTAGGGCACATCGCCAGCCCTTTTTTTATATTTTATTTTGAGAGATTGTCTCACTAAGATGTTTAGGGCCTCACTAAATTTCTGAGGCTTTCTTTGAACCTGTAGTCCTCCTGCCTCAGCCTCCTGAGTCTCTGGGATTACATTGTGGGCCACCATGCCCGGCAGCCAACTGCTACTTATAAATGTGCCCCTCTCCTTAGAATTTGCTAATATTGGATGGACAGTAAATTTACATCTTTCTTACCATATCTTTGCTGCTGTCTTAATTTTGACTATGTTTTTTTTTTCTCCTTTTAAAAAGTGGTATGTTATAATTATACACAATAGTGGAATTATTGTGACAGTGATACATGCATGTAATATTATTTGATCAATTTCACTTTCCAGTACCTCCCCTTTCCCTTCCAACTCCCCCCCCCCCATTTCCTTCCTCTACCCTACTGGTCTCCCTTCTATTTTCATGAGATCTTCTATTTTCTCTTTAGCTTCCCAATGTAAATTAGTTTAATCACTATGGAAATCAGTGTGGAGGTTCCTTAAAAGACTAGGAATGAAACCACCATATGATTCAACTACACCAATCTTCAGTATTTTTCCTGGAGAATTAAAGTCTGCATACTATTTATAGAAGCATAATTCACAGTAGCCAGATTATGGAATCAGCCTAGGTGTCTATCAACAGATGAATGGATAAAGAAAATATGTACACACAATGGATTTTATTTAGCCATAAAGAAGAATGAGATTGTGGATATAACTAGAGAGCATCAGGTTAAGTACAGTAAGCCAAACTCAGAAAGTCAAGGGTGATACAATTTTTTAAGTATAGAAGTCTCTGGATTTTATATAGAAAAATTCATCTACTTTTCTCAGAATTTCTTTGATGTTGTGCTTAAAAAGTCCTTTTCTGCTCCAACATTATATAACCATTCATTCATTCATTCATTATTTATTTATTGTGATACTGGGGCTTGAACCCAGGAGTGTTCTATCACTGAGCTGCACCCTAGCCCTTTTTATTTTTATTTCTTTAGTTTGAGACAGGGTCTCATTAAGTTGCTAAGGTTGGTCTCAAACTCGCAGTCCTTCTACCTCAGCCTCCTGGGTAGCTGGTTTACAGGTGTGTGTCACTATACCTGGCCTGGGCTTTGTTTTTTTAATATTGAATTTTTAACCTATTTGAAGTTATTTTGGTGAGAGTGTAAGGTAGGTGTTTATATGACAAGTCAGATTGTTTTTTTTTTTTTTTTTTTTTGCTTAATTCTCCTTTTGATGATTTGAAATGGCATTTTAATCTCATATATGTGACATACATAATAGACTGTGTTGTGTATATATGTATGTGTGTGTATATGTGCCATTGTTTCTTTCTGGACTTAATATTTTCTGTTCTACCATTGTACTGCAATACATGTTTAAGTGGGTTTATTATCCACTTATTACTTATTTTCAAAACATTTCTAGCTATGCAAGTATCTGTTTCTAATTGAAATAATCTAGTGAAAACTACTTTGACTACCACTATTTGAAAACACCCCTGCAAATTTGAAGTTTTCAGAGCTAAGGAAATGACTAAGCATTTCCTTAGTTCCTGTGTTAATTTTTTATATAGGTCTGACAGAGTGAGGTCAATTCAAAAGTGTTGCCTCTATCATTTGCTCCCGATTGGCATAACTTAAGTCACAGGCAATTCAGAAGGAACCTGGGACATCCTTTTGAATCTTTAGTTTTGCTTAAAAATCTTTCTCTTTCTAAAGAGAACTGTAGGAAGGTTCTCTTTCAATAGGGACATATACGATTCTGGGGAAGTGTACAAATGGTTGTTTGCTGTAATTTATACTATATTGTACTATATTCACATATTCTTTAAGCCACAAACTAAAACTTAAAAAAAATTTTTTTTTTTAGTTGTAGCTGGACATGATGCCTTTATTTTATTTATTATTATGTGGTGCTGAGGATCAAACCCATGTGCTTGATGAGCACTCTACCACTGAGCCACAACCCCAGCCCAAACTTTTTTATTTATCATTTATATATTTATTTTTGTTGTTGTTGTTGGTACTAGGGATTGAACCCAGGGACGCTTTACCACTGAGCCACATCCCCAGCCCATTTTTATATTTTATTAGCAGCGACAGGGTCTCCATTGTTGCTTAGGGCCTTGCTGAGTTGCCAAGGCTGGCTTTGAATTTGTGATCCCCCTGCCTCAGCCTCCTGAGCTTCTAGGATTATAGGCATGCACCACTGTGTCCAGCTACTTTATATTTTAATAACTGAGAATACTTTTATGTCCTTTGGTCATTTAAATTTCTTTTGTAGGGCTGGGGATGTGGCTCAAGTGTTAGCACGCTTGCCTGGCATGCACGGGGCACTAGGTTTGATCCTCAGCACCACATAAAATAAAAATAAAAGATGTTGTGTCCACCGAAAACTAAAAAATAAATATTAAAAATCAATCTCTCTCTCGCTTTAAAAAAAATAAATTTCTTTTGTGACTTGTTTGTTCAAACTTTCAGCATGATTTTTATATATATTTGAAGTACAAGGCATTTTTTATTGTTGGAAAATAAACTCTTTTCCTCAGTTTTATGCTTGGTGTTGGTTTCTCTGCTTTCTGTTTTAGGATACCATGGCTAAACGGAATACAGTGATAGGAACACCATTTTGGATGGCTCCAGAAGTTATTCAGGAAATTGGGTACAACTGTGTGGCAGACATCTGGTCTCTGGGAATAACTGCCATAGAAATGGCTGAAGGAAAGCCCCCATATGCTGATATCCATCCAATGAGGGTAAGGAAATAGACAGAAAACCAGTGGGGTGATTAGTTACTATCTTTAGAAGGATAGTTCTATGACCTAATTGATTAGGTTCCAAATAATAAATGAATTATTTGTATATAATTAATAAATGTCAATGTAAATGATACACTTCCACTGACGCTAGTTGTAGTCACTAATTACGTGTGATCTACCCGCCTCCATTTCAGAAGTTGGGTATTGATAGCCCCCTGGCAGAACATAGTCTACAGAAAAAAAAATTGCTTAGTTTGATTTATGTACTTATTTATGCTTTTAGTAGTTTAGAAACCCATATTTTAATATCATAACACCAGCTGGAGTTGAGTAGTGGTGGTTTTATTTTTACATATGAGCTTTCCATTCAGCTAGTCCACATGATTCCTGTTGTCACCAATTATCAGATACCAATTATTACAGCATTTTCTCTAATGGCTTTTTTTGAACTCCTGTCACTAACACTCAACCTGTTCTTTTGTTATCTTTTTTTTTTTTTGCCTGGCCCCTATAGGTGTTGACTCTTTTTTCCCTGTAGTTATTTGAATTTCTACGTTCTGGTTTGTTAATCCCCAGAGTCTTCATCTGGAGGCTCTGCTCTCTTCAACTTCCATCTTCTTTGGGAGTGTCAAGGGCCTGCAGGGCTGCATCTCCACTGAAATTCCTCAGTATCAACACTTTCAGGGGTTCTCAGGCTTTACCATTCCAGAACCCCTCATCACAGCACTGTTATAAACCCCAGACTTGCCTTCTTTGGGGCTCCACAGCTCTCTTTGCACTCCCCAAGTCAGTTCTTCCTATTCTTTCATTATTAAGTTCTCTCATTAAAAGACTTAAGATTTTTAAAAGCATTCATGTGCCCAAAAATAAACTTCTTTCTCTAGGGCACAGAAAAGAGAAAAAGTAGACAATTTACTGGTCATATTTTTAGATTTAAAGAATTTAAGCTGTTTATTGCAAAGAGTTTTATCTTTCAAAAACTGTGGCTCTTTATTTATTGGGAAATTTGGCAGCTGTTGGGGCTGAGGTTATCTTCAGGATATGGATATTCATAGGTGTTGCCTTTCCACTTTGAAAAGCAATATAATGCAGTTATCATTAAAAAAAAAACTTTATTGAGGCCTGGGATTGTGGCTCAGCGGTAGAGTGCTCGCCTAGCACGGGGGGACCCAGGTTTGATCCTCAGCACCACGTAAAAATAAAGGCATTGTGTTGTGTCCATCTACACCTAAAAAATAAATACTTTTTTAAAAATAACTTTATTGATATATTGATATTGTGAGGTTTAGGGGACAAATCTGCATAAGAGAGAGGGAAAGGAAAGAGCAATATATCAGCTTCTCCAGTTGTCATACTTTGTACTTTGAGATGCTTAGACTTTGGTAGGGATTTAAATGGGCTTATCAGAGAAAAATAATTTTACCAAACTGCAAATGTAATTCCAGGCATATTTTTGTTGGTATATCACACTTGCTTTACTAAGTTTTTCTTCTTCTCTTTCTCCTTTTTTTTTTTTTTTTAACTAGGCAATCTTCATGATTCCTACAAACCCTCCTCCCACGTTCCGAAAGCCAGAGTTGTGGTCAGATAACTTCACAGATTTTGTGAAGCAGTGTCTTGTAAAGAGCCCTGAGCAGAGAGCCACAGCCACTCAGCTTCTCCAGGTATGAGTCACCTGTCAGGCTGCCTCTCCATTTCATCTACATGCAGACCAGAAAATGCTGTTAATCCACCTGCATGGAGATAGAACAGAAGTATAAGATATTCCCTGCCTTTAGGGAGGTTTGAATCTATTTGAGTAGGAAAGACAGAAAAGAATCTTAACTCATTGAACAAAACCAATACAAGAAAATATAGGGCTGTGTAGGATTAGAGAAAGCACTTTGACATCGAGTGAGCATTGCTGTGTGCCAACTTTGCACACGTTATGCCATTTAATTATCACGTAGGCCCTATGAAGAGTAGGTGTTATTTCTGTTTTATAGGTGAGAAAATGGAAGCTTAGAGAGGTTAACTCAGAGTTTCTTAGCTGGTGTAAACAGCAGGGTCAATGGTAGGGCTTGAGTTATTCTCAGTCCAAAAGTAGGAGTGCCATCAAGTCTGCCTTTCTGAATCAGTGGTGGGTGCTGATATATCTCAGGATAAGAGGAAGTTACTTTGAATTGGAGACACTGGGAGTGCTTCCTTGAAGAGAGAGCTTACATGTTGGGCCTTGAGGAATGGATGGGATTGGCAGGCTGTAAGTATGTCTCATGGTTAGGAGCTTGGATTCAGACCTCTGACTTCCTGAGTTTGAATTGTGGCTGCTTAATACTTTGTGACTTTGGAAAAATAACTTATTCTCTGTATCTCCTTAGTTTTCTTATCTATAGAATGGGAATTAAATAATTTTCTCAGATGTTGTGAAGATAAAGTGATACAATGTGTATAATTTTGAACAGTGTTTTACAAATGTTGAAGTTAGTATGGCATGAACTTGATAAATATTTGTTATTATTGTTGAGTTAAGTCAGTGATTTTTCAACTATTTTCAGACCCAATGCCCCCTCTTTATAACATCTTCATTACTTTTCTGGAATTAAATTTATAGATAATCTTGATTCTTAAATAGATTTTATTATCTGTAATCTAAAGGTAATAATTTACAGTAAATATTATCTATGACAATGTAGAAATACTCCAGCTTGATCCAATTTATATATGTAATGGAACATATACTTGTATCTATCAGCATGAATGAGTTTAGATTTAAGAGTAATATGAAGGGGCTGGGGCTGTAGCTCAGTGGTAGAGCACCCACCTCGCACGTGTGAGGCACTGGGTTTGATCCTCAGCACCACATAAAAATAAATAAAGATATTGTGTCCAATTACAACTAAAAAAAAATTTAAAAAAAAAGAGTAATAAGAAGGTCAGAAACCCATTCCATTCAAGAAGCACAGGAAAATTAGCCAAGTGCGGTGGTGCACGTCTGTAATCCTAGCGGCTGTGGAGGCTGAGGCAGGAGGATCATGAGTTCAAAGCCAGCCTCAGCAACAGCAAGGTACTAATCACTCAGTAAGACCCTGTCTTTAAATAAAATACAAAAAAGGGCTGGGTATGTGGCTCCATGGTACAAAAAAAAAGCACAAGAAAATGAATGAGAGGGACATTAGTATTAAACTGACAGTAAGTAATCACAGGCTAGACTTGTATCCAATAAGAGGAAGAAAATGGTTTTACAAAATTTCCAAGTAGAAAGCACAAGACAATATGGTATCCTTGCTAATGACCAAGGTCTTATTTCTAAGTATTTTATTAAATTGTTTTCCTGCTTGGATGGAGTACTATAGAGTTTTTTAGGAAAAAATCTTCTGTATTGTGGTCCTACTATATGTTAAGGCATCCTTTCAATCTCTGGTGTACTTACAAAGAGAGACCTTACACCCTCATGGATGAAGGGGAACATAGAGTAGATTGTAAAGAGAAAACAGGAGACAATATCAGAGTAGTTTGCAAAGCACTAGGCAGTCCCCAGAAAAATTTCCATATGTGTCTTTAACAACATAGACAACTTCTTATTGTGCTGTAAACCCAAACAACAAAAACATAACATGGTGTTAATATTAAAACTTTAGCTGGGCATAGTAGTGCATCCCTGTAATTCCATCAGCTCAGGAGTGAGACATGAGGACTGCAAGATCAGCAACTTAGTGAGACTGTATCTCAAAATAAGGAAAGAAAGAAAGAAAGAGTTGATGATGTAGCTCAGTGATAAAGTGTCCCTGGATTCAACTCCTAGTACCAAAACAAACAAACAAAAACCCAAAAAAAACTTTAGCAGTGTCTCTGTGTTTCAATATTGTTTTTGCTGATTGAATAATATTTGGGTCTACTCTATTATACATTATACAAAATACATATGTGTTTTGCAGTAACTGCACTTTTGCACTAACATCCTTTTTACCTAAATATGTAGTTGGGAATGCTCTAGTACATTGAATAGAAAGAACAAATGGGATGAGTAAATTATGTAGTGATTTCTAAACAGTGTCTTTATTTCATTTTAAGCTCCCATCTCCAAAATTGCCTTTCAAATCAGTGGACATTTTGCATATCTCTAGAAAAACATTTTCAGTATTATTAGAGTATAATGTATATACTTTGAGACATTTGAAAGATGTGCACAATGTGCCACAGTTAATTTTATACCTCACAGGATTGCTAGCATTCCTGCCTCTCCATCCTGTGTCAGGTGTGCCCTTCAAACTTTGTGATGACATCAGGCTCTTAACACATTTATAGAACTTCCTCTAGAGGGTAATACCACCCCATTGAGAATTTCTAGATTTGACAGAGAGAAATGTTGTAGTCATTCTATCCAGGCTGAAAAAGATGGGCAAAGGCTGCTGCTGAGTTATAAACCAAGTGTGGTTTAGCTGTTGTCCAGGGCATAAAGAAAAAGATTAGATTCACTGACTGATTCAGTAAGTATTGTCAAGTACCTACTGTGTGCTAGACAGTAGGTGTTTTAGCTCTAAAACTGGCTCCAGTGATTTCTATTTCTTTGTTTAAGCACCCATTTGTGAAGAGTGCCAAAGGAGTGTCAATACTGCGGGACTTAATTAATGAAGCCATGGATGTGAAACTGAAACGCCAAGAAGCTCAGCAGCGGGAAGTAGACCAGGATGACGAAGAAAACTCAGTGAGTGGCAGGCATTGCTGTGGGCCTCAGGCCTCAATGCTTGTTAGTTCATGTTGGTCAAGTGTAAGTAAGACAGTAGAAAATACTGGATCAGCTTGGAACTGGAGACTCTTGTAGTATATGTCCTTAACTGGACCAAGGCTTGTTGGAGACTCACTGAATCTGTGCTTGTTGTTCTTCTGGTGTTTCCTAAAACATTTAAATTTTACTTTTTGTCCTTGTATCTTTTATTCAATGTAACTTTTTACTTGAGAATATGCTCAAGTGTGAGACTTGGTTTATCTAAGCCATTTTGAGGAATCTAAGATCCATACTTAATATACTTGAAGACTCCCTCACTACCCTGAGATTCCAGGGGTATTCATGTCAGCTCTTAGATCTGTATTGTAGACTCTAATAAGGAGGGGAGGGGAGGAGTATCCTTTAGAATTAGATCCACTCCTCTCGTATGGATAAATTTTGAACTCCTTTGGTTAAATAAAGAGTACTTTCAGTTCTACAAGGTGAATTTAGAACCTAGAAGTTAAATGAATTTAAAACCCAGAAATATTTTTACCAAGATGAGTAATAATAATTCAGAAAACCATCTTTTGATCAGATTAACTCTAACTTGAGATTTTGTTCTACAGGAGGAAGATGAGCTGGATTCTGGCACAATGGTTCGAGCGGTTGGTGACGAGATGGGTACTGTACGAGTGGCCAGCACCATGAGTGATGGAGCCAATACTATGATTGAGCATGATGACACATTGCCATCACAGCTGGGCACCATGGTGATCAATGCGGAGGATGAGGAAGAAGAAGGGACTATGAGAAGTAAGGCTCTGATGAAATATATGAACTTTTTGACCAAGCATAGGCACTTTAGGATTCCCGTGGTCCATGCAGCCTCATTCTTGGGTTCTCTCTTCTATTACTACAACTAAAGGAGGTTTTCACTGGAGAACTATGTAGGAGGTGTGGGGAGGGGGGAAGCTGGCATGTGGAGTCAGAGGTAAGAAAGTGTCAGCAATGAGAGGAATTTTGCTTTTGAACCCAAACAGCCCGTTCTATCATTGAATGTTGTCATTGAAGGTTCATCTGTGGAGGTAATCACATGTTGTTTTGGTGCATAATTCATCTCAAAGCATAATGAAATTCTGGCCGGTTTATGTGTCTTCAGTCTATTTTCATGATAGTTGTGCATCCAACCCAGGTTACCAACACTCAGTCAATTAAAGATAATTGTACAAATTGAAAAGTTCTATCATATTCTTTCAGAAGAATTCACCTTTTTTTTTTTAATGATTTATGCTTTATTTATTTCATTATCATTTGTATTTATTTTCAAGCAATCATATTAAGGATCTGATTCTTTTTTTCTGTGATTTAAGCCTAACCGTGTGTTCACTTCCATCTTTGGGTGTTTTGTTCTCTTCTCCTCTTTAGCTCTTGCCCTCCTTTTATTCTGATCATTACAGACCAACTCAGGGAGGAAAGGAAAATAAAATGATAATTGAGTTGTATAAGTACAAGTTTAAAGCACTAAGTTCTCTATGATCTTTTCATCATCATTTTTTTCCTGTCTTTCTCAATTTTTAAAATTTAAAGGCCCTTCTTCCATACCAGGGATCTGTAAACTATGGTCCAGGGGACAAATCTGGCTCACCACCTACTTTTGGTAATAATTTTATTGAAACACAGCTATTCCCTTTCATTTATGAGTTGTCTGTGGCTGCTTTTGTCCTATAAAGGCAGAGTTGAGTAGTTGTGAAACACCATATGGCCCCCAAAGCCTAAAATATTTGCTCTCTGGCCGATAACAGAAATTTGCTAGCCCCTGTTCTAGATCCTCTGTATAATTCAATGAGTTTTTTTAGTGCCTGTTTCCCTAAGCACTTTGCTAGGTGCTGAAGGACAGCAGAAAATGAGTAAACCACTCCTTGCCCTGAAGGATCTCAATGTAGAGGGAAAACCATTAATTACAATTCGGTGTATGAAATGAGTTCTAACATAGTGGTAATGTGAGGGTGCTAAAGCAGAGGGGAAGAATACCTAATTTGGTCTAGAGCCTACTAAAAAATTGCTTGAGGAAAAATGCAAGATTGGCAGTATGCAGGTTAGGCAAAGATGTTCCAGCAGAAGGTGCAGTGTACATAAGATCCTAGGCAAAGAGGTAGGCAAGTTCAGGGAGCCACTTGGTTTATTGTGGTTTATCATTGGCAACTGACATAGTCTTAAGCAGAATTTCAGAGAAGGTAAAATCTCAGCTGAAATTTAAAGGACAGGTGGAGGAAGGTTGTGCTTATCCAAAAAATATACAGTAATGTTTTAAATTTTTTTTTATGAAACTCATGCAGGGCAAAATAGCCTTTAGACTTAATTTGTTTGATTTTAAGGAAAACTCACATTTTTAAAGTTTCTCTTAGGCTCCAGATATCATTTGTACATGAAATATTTAAATAATATAATCCTTACAACAATTAAATGGGTTTTGAGGGTTTTTGAAATTTTTAGTTTTAAGTAATACAAATAATATAGCAAAAACTTGTGTGTAGAATTAACTTACTGATATTTTTTAGATTTATATTACATATTCGAAGAATAAACAACCTACAACTTTACTGGTAAAGTTAATGTCCCCAAGTATATCTTTTGAATCACATTAATCATGAATTTGGTGTGAATTTTTTCTGTATAAGTGTACATCCAAAAACAATACTGAGTGCTTTTTGTATTTTTCAAAGATTCTATTGCAGTATCTTTTAATAGGCTGCTGTGTTTGGTGTTGTTTGGCACTAGGGATTGAACCCAGGAGTGCTTTACTACTGAGCTACATATCTGGCCCTTTTTGTTTCTTATTTTGAGATAGGTCTCACTTACCAAGTTGCTTAGGGCCTCACTAAGTTGCTGAGGCTGGCCTCAAACTTGAAATACTTCTGCCTCAGCCTCCTAAGTTGCTGGGATTACAGATGTGTGCCACCACCCACCAGGCTGCTGTTTGTAAACAAGGAGCTTTTTTGGGTGAGATGAATCTTTATTGATATAGATTGTAAGAATGTACATAACACGTTGTATTATATGTTTCCCTTTTGCTGGACATAAAGTTTTTTCTAGATATCTGCTGTAATAAACGTGTCTCTGAACCTGTCTCTTGGTAGAGATGCAGTTTTTTAGGGTATGTGCTGAGAAGTGGGATTTGGTAGTTCTCATAAAAATATAAGCACTTTGGTTTATACTGAGAATTCTCGGGGCTGGGGTTGTAGCTCAGTGGTTGAGCGCTTGCCTCGCATATGTGAGGAACTGGGTTCGATCCTCAGCACCACATAAATTAAATAAATAAAAGATTTAAAAAAAAAGAATTCTCCACAGTTTTCTTCAATTGACTAATAATTTACACTTTCACTACCAGTAGATGAGAATTCTGTTTTCTTGTATCTTCAATAGTTGACATTGCCAGGCTTTTTGCCATTCTTGAGGGATGTCAAATGTCATTTTTCAGAAATATTTAAGACAGAAACAAATAGAAATAAAATAATCCTTAAGTGTTCCTATCCAGTTTAAGAAATTAAAATATTACAAAAGAAGTACTTACTCTGTGTCCCTTCTCAGTTGTATTCCTTTCCTGTCTTACCACAGACACCTCTCTTGTCTTCAGTTTATTTGAGTTTATTCTCTCTTCCTGGTTTCTTAAATTTAATATTTAGTGTTTTTACTTTTAAACCTTAAAGGACTGTTTTAAAACGGCATCTCACTATACCTGTGTAGAGTGTTTATGTGTATGGATTATTTTTGTCTGTTTTACTTTAAGTTAATTTGTCTATTAATTGCAATACCTGCTATATTTGGACCTAGTTCTGTTTTGCTCTTGTTTTGTGCTTTCTACTCACTATGTTTTTCTCTTGCTGCTTTTTTCTTTTTTCTTTACCTCTGTTGGGGTAGTGAGTCCTCATCCCCTCACCCTCCTACCATCTACCTACTCCTTTTCCATTCCCTGCCACCAACTTGCACAGTTCATGCATAAGTAAATGCCCGTTTAACTTTCTGTTTTTCTAATAAATTCCAAAGTTGATCAATATCTCTGTCTTCCTTCTGAATAAAAAAGGATTATTGGGCTAGGGATATAGCTCAGTTGGTAGCACTCTTGCCTCGAATGCACAAAGCCCTGGGTTCAAACAAACAAACAAAGAATTGTAAAACATTTTGCATTTTTCTAGACTTCCTGTCTCATCTCTTGTTATTGTTATCTATTGCTTTGGTTCCATCCTGTTTTTTAAACTCACCTATTGGCTACTATATTAATTGTTTAGAGTCAATACTTAGATTTTTGAACATATTGCTCACCATGGCCTTTTTCAACTTACTCTTTTCTTTTGGGTTCTTTTTCTTAAAATATATCTTTTTTTAATTAAATATACTTTAAAAATATATATTTTTTAAATTTTAGATGTTGATGGACCTTTATTTTATTCATTTATTTATATGCGGTGTTGAGAATCGAACCCAGTGCCTCACACATGCTAGGCAAGCACTCCACCACTGAGCCATAACTCCAGCCCCTTAAAATATATCTTTTCAGTGAGAGTGTAATGGGTAATAGATTCATGATTTGTATGGCTAATAAAAGTCTTTTAATTTTTCCTCTTATCTAATTCCCACCATTCTCTGTCCAAAAAATGTTTTGTTTGTTTGTTGGGCTTTTTTTTTGGGGGGAGGGGGGAAGGTACTGGGGATTGAACCCAGGGGTGCTTAACCATTGAGCCACATCCCTAGCCCTTTTTATTTTATTTTTTATTAAGTTGCTTAGGGCCTCGCTAAGTTGCTGAGTCTAGCCTCAAACTTGCAATTCTCCTGCCTCAGCCTCCTGAGTCTCTGGGATTACAGGCATACACCATCACATCCAGTTATACATTTGATTTTAGAATTCATCCTCATCCGTTATATTATACTGCTGCCAGCAGAACAAAAGTTGTTGGAGGCCAGGACTAGGTTTATGTTACAGTTCTTGTTGGTAAGTCTCAGCCTGTAGTAATATATTTCTCCTTGCTGGTTGTTTCAGTAATTAGCTACTCCAGGCTGTGTTTCCAAGGTTTACAAAGGGAGTATGTCTCTGACAAATTGATAATATTCTACATATGAGAGAATGTTTTGGATATAGATATCTGAATCCACAGTAATCAGTTGGAGGTAAAGGATTAAGTGGGTGGGGTAAGGTGATATTTGATTGCTTTATAAACCATCTTGAGAATGCCTAAAACCATAAAAGCCCATACTACTTTGAAAATCTCTGTCTGGGTATAGTAATCAGATTGTAATGTTTTTGTTTGTCTTTTGCTGCTACTGCTATTTTTGTTGTTGTTTGTTTTTTTGTGGTCCTTGGGAATCAAACCCAGGCCCTTATACATGCTAGGCAAGCCCTTTACTGTTTTCTTTTTGAATAAAAGCTGTTGAAGAGCCTGTTTGCCCCTAGAAGCCATGAGAAAGAAGCATGACATGAGTTTGTCATTGTTAGGCACATTATGCTTTCTCTGAGCCAGCAGAGGGAGCTCTATAATAGGTTATGAATTAAAATTGCATTACCATCCCAAGTTCACAAAACCCCTTTTTATAATCGGCTTTATTCTAGGTCAAGATCATTGTTTATTTATTTTTAAATACATTTTAAGTAACCACAGCAACACTAGGGCAATGTGTTTATTTTATTTGGTTAAGAGATTGGATACCTCATACTTGGCAAAGGTCAATTATAAGACTGAACTCAGCCGAAACATTTCAAAATAGTAACTTTTCCTTTCCCTTAGTGGTCCTTAACCAGAATCAATGTTCTCTTTCTGTAT